ATATGTTAGATATTATTTTTTAATAATAATTATATAAATTAATTAAATTAATTAAATTAAATCATAAATACATGATTTTTTGCATTATGATCCAATTCCCTTGTATTGCAATGAACAAAATATAGGATCTATACATGCACCTTGGTGGTTCTTGTTTATGACATTCAACCTTGCTTTATTACAACTTATACAATAATGTCATTGATCTAGCAATTAGTTTTGGATCCATGCAACATTTCGTTTTTAAGTGGTATATACCCTACATTCTCTAACTTTTGTACCAAATATAAAAGCAATACCACATGCAAATGATCTTGCATTTAATTTTTATCTTCACATAAATGATCGTGCATGTGCAAATTCAATATCAACGGTACAGGATGCTGAACCTTATTAATATTCAATTTTCATGGCATTGTCTCCAAATCTTTGTTTTAGTAGCTAAAAACGTTTAAAGAGACAATAATAATTATAATATTTTATTATTATTATTAATTTTATTATAATTAATCTCATCATTTATTCAAATAAAACTTTATTAGTTAAGTTTGTGAGACGAGGATTATTACCGGCAGACAGTCTGGTCGGACGTCTCTAACTTGGTTTTGAGAGGGACCCTTAATCCACTTGGTTCCATCATTACTTAGCTTTACCATGAATTACATTTATAAGTTGCAATGTCCATATATTAACTAATAGAAACAAACGATCAAACTTTTTGGGCCTCATAATTAAGTTATCATCAATATTGGTATCCCACAAGAAAGTTGCCAGGTCATTTTGGTTTCAATAAGCTATGGAAGTTGAGAAAACATATCAATCAAATCAAACATGAAAAGGAAAAAAAAAAATGAAAATCGGAAGCCAAAAGTTGGTTTTGGATAAAAAGTGAATGATGAAGCTTCTAAACTAAGCTAAACTGTAGGGCACATGATTTACCAAAGAGATCAAACTACCCTACCCTACCCCTTTTGTCATGTGAAACATTGCATTTTATGAAACTCCTTTTCTTTTATAATTTCTGTCACAAAGGACATGGGCGTAGCTTTCTAGCCATATTTACGTGTGTGTGTGTTTTTTTTTTAATAATTAATGTTGTTTATTTTAATTTATTTTTTGAACATTTTTTTATAATATTAACTATCAAATTTAAAATCAATTGATAATAATATGATACCTCAATTTATATTGTGATAATCTAAAGTTTTGTTATAATATATATGTAAAAATTTAATTCAAAAATATCTTTGTAAGATAAAATCATAAAATTTTTGAATTAAAATGAACAATATCTTACAGATTATTTGTGAATCTTCATAAAAATATCCGATCCTTTAACTCAATTGGTAAAATATAAGACATTTTTTATAAGATAAAATCATGAGATTTTTGAATCAAAACGAATAATATCTCATAAGTTGAAAGCGAATATTCACAAATAGATGAAAGTATTTAATTTAAATACAATATCTAATTTTAATAAATATAAAATAACATTACTGTTACATTAAAAATTAAAATAAGTAGCAAATTAACGAGCAATCGGTGTTTAATTTATATTTATAATTTAATTTTATTAATTCAACAATCCCTTACTCATGTTTCAAATTAAACTTGTGAATACTGAGAAGGAGGAATCAGAAAATGATTGGTAGGCCACCTCTCATGTTTTTCTCTTTTATTCACGTGAAGACAGTTTCGATTTGTTTTTTTTTTTTTTTGGTTTCACTTTAACTTTTTCTTTTGAATATGATAGCACTCCGAAAATAAAAGCTGAAAGTTTCATAAAATTGTAGAAGAAAATTAAAAGACGAAAAAAAGAGTAAAAGCCGGAGAAGGGTGAAGTCATGATAGGCACAAGTGCACAAATGAGAGACAACAGAAGGGCGTCCCGTGAAGGTGGTCGATTTTTGTAGGCCTTAGCCAAAGGGGTCCCAAAGATCTTTAAGTAAAGTATACACATTTCCATGCTTTTGTTTTGGTCCATTTGCTCATTTCTATTTGGCAAAAGCAGAGGTAAGAATATAGATGCAAAGTCGTGGTTTGCAAGTGCCAAAAGTTGTATATTAGAGGGTGGACTCGAAAAGAAAAAATAACATAGAAATTTATATATTTAACTTCCATGTAAGCTTAATTAAACCTTTGGAACACTAACACTCGAAAACTTTTACTTTTTAATTTAGATAGGTGGTCAAATTAATTTGGATAAAATTAAAAAAAAATAATAATTATTATAATTATGATTAAAAAAAAATATTATAATTACGATTAAAAAAATTTTTCATAAAAAATTTATATTAAATAAATTTTACTGAAGTTGATATTTAAATTTAATTAATGATACGATAAATTTAATTGTATCACACTAAAAATATGATAGAATCTAAACTCTTAATTGATTGATGCTTGATGTTTGAATTTCAACTTTTCCAAATTAGTAACAAAAAAAAAAAAACACTTTGTGACATTAATTTTCTTCTTAAAAAAAAAAAAAAACTTTGTAGCACTGATAAACCATAACGCTATAACTATTCCACGTAGTTAGCTAGATATGGGCTACAGGGCTGAATGCTAATGGTCTATGAAGTTAGGCTGGCTCGTTTCATGTCCTAAATCAAAACTTTTGGGCTCTAGGACATTTGAGCCTACCCACATTCCTTCATATTAAGACCTTCCGGTTTGGGCTTACACCAACCAAAATAAATAGAAGAAAATACGTTTGTTGAGAGGAGAAAAAATTTCAAAAATTTGTAAATTGATTTGAATAGTAATATTTGGTTATATTTAAATTGATTTTTTTATTTGATTAAGATCAAATTTAGATATCAAATATATATATATTAAATTTGAATCGGAACCGACTTATATATTTTTTTAATTTAAATATATTTTAAAATTTTATAAAATAAAAATAATAATTTTATATCAAAATTTATTTAAATATATTAAAATTTTATACATTAAATAAATAATATTCAATTCAATTTAATTCATATTCAAATTAAAATTTTAATTTTTATAATATTATATAATATTTAAAAAATTAAATCAAATTTAATTTAAATCGAACTGTTATCAATCCTATTACCCGGCCAATAACCAAAGACCCAACTTGTCCTTGTGAAAATTGTAGGGAAATTTGTAAAAATAAGACGGCAAGAATCTTTCTTCACCGGTGATGAGTGATAACAAGGCGTTAGTTTTAGCCTTTTAGGTGCTCAGGATAGGAGATCAAGGCATGGGATAGGGGCAAAACCGCAAAATTAGAATTTTTGGGGAACGGTTGTGGACTATATTTAAATATCTTTGCCTTATTAGTAATAGGTGCTCAGGCTAGGAGATCAACTGATCAAGGCATTGGATAGGGGCAAAACCGCAAATTAGAATTTTTTGGGAACGGTTGTGGACTATATTTAAATATCCTTGCCTTACTAGTAATACCCTTTTACTTTTTTTGGATTTCATGAGTTATCTTTCGTTGGAAAGGAAAAATTTTCCTAAAAAAAAAAGAAAGGAAAAAATAAATACCATTTTATTCTTAAATAATTACAGGATAAAAGGTAGGTTCAATCCATGGAGGTGGATTATAATATTTATTTATCTTAAAATGTTGCTCAAAGCTTATGTTAGGAGAGGAGTAATTTTATATTTAATAGCTTAGAAAAAATATACAAAAGTATTTTATTTATATACAAAAAAATTTCATTAATGAAAAAAAGATTTACATATGATATTATAACCGTATCACAATTCTAATTAAATTAAAATACTAAAAAAAGTTTTTAAATTATTTTATTTTTCATAAATAAGTTTTTATAATTTTATTATATTCAAATAAATCTTTATTTTTTGATTAATATCAAAATAAACTTTTATCTCAAATAAAAAATAGATTTATGTTAAAAGCTTATTTATACAAATTAAATATTAAAACATATTTAGATATAAATTAAAATTTAAGAGTTTATTCGGATACGAATTAAATGTTAATGACTTATTTTGAGTGCAATTAAAGTATATGAATTTATTTAAATCAAATAATAAAATTCAAATTTTTTTTGTTATTTTAACCTTCTAATTATAGTATTATAATTTTTAATATTACATTAATGTTATAGAAATTTTAAATATATATATATATATATATCCAGACACATACACAACATGAATGAATTTCACTTATTCAAGTGTCAGCAATAATTTATTAATTGAAGCTATGGACCCAACCCGAACTATATATTTATAATCACATGAATCTTAGACCAAATCTCAACCGAACCCCTTTGGCTTTAAGGCAAAAACTCCCAATCACAAAATTAAGATTTGTTATTTTATAAATCTATTTGTATTTGTCACACCAAAAGTAGCAATTTGTCCTCACGGATCGTTGCAATTGCATTCTAACGCATGATATAATACATGCGGCTGCCATTGCCTTCCGCTTCTTGACCGTTAAGCAAATGACGTCCTATCTAAAAAAAATAATAATAATAAATCGAAAACTAATAGCCCAAAAAATAATACTAAAATATTATATATATATATATAAATTTATTTTTGATATACTAATTTTTAACTTTATAAATTGGATTAAAATATTGATATAATTTTATTGTTTTTTAAAACTCGGTTTTGATATATTGATAATGAAATTTTAAACTGTATAAATAAAATTAAGAGATGTCATATGCTGTCATTTTTTTTTTTTAAATCTAAAATTTTATTGAGAGTAGATGAGATAATTATAAAAAAGTTGAAAAAAATTGATTCTATCAAGTAAGCATAGTGATGATGGATTCAGATACTGACACACCAAAATTTTAAAAAAAATTTCTTTGATTACTCGAAAAGAAATTACATAGCCTAATAGGGTTTGCATTTCCATTTATCAGCTGCCATGATTAAATTATTAATAATTTCATAATTGGAATTTGCCGGCCGTCGCAGGCTTGCCGGCCTCCATCATCAAGCTATATATCCATCATATAATTCTCCCATTCTATATATGATCAAGCAAGTTAGCTTCACCATTTATATCTCATTCAGTTCACGAACTTATCTCTTTCTCAAATTAACTTCCATTTCTTAACCATCGTATTATTGAAAGGCAAAGATTAATCGTAGAAAATAAGAAGCTAGAAAGCATGAGGCAAGCAGGAGCTTATTCAGGCATACTCTGTGGTGGAATATCTGGGAGAACCGGGCCTCATTTGTTGCCCTTGGCTAGGATCAAGAAGATCATGAAAAAGTCTGGCGACGACGTTAAGATGATATCTGGGGAGGCTCCGATTGTTTTCTCCAAGGCTTGCGAGCTGTTCATTGAGGAGCTTACGCAAAGATCTTGGTTGGTCACAATGCAAGGCAAGAGGAGAACGCTTAACAAAGAGGATGTTACCTCAGCTGTTTTGGCTACTGATATATTTGATTTTCTTGTCAACTTGGTATCTGAAACCTGAAACTCTGTGGAAGCTACTTCTTTGGAAATGGATACCTTCAAATCATCATAGGCTTCTCTCTCTTCTTCCATTAATGCCTTATATCTTATTTATAAGAAATACCAAAGTAAATCTGAATCATGAATATATATATATATATATGTATATTGTTGCTGTTGTTGGCATTTGCATCAATGTAGTAGTGCATGAAATAATAAGAGAAGATTAATTTGTACGAAATATTTGTTGATGGTAGTCTTTTAAGTGTTTAATTCTCAATTTTTGATCATATTTTAACATACAGAATATATAATACGATTTGGGTAGCTAGTAAGTACTAGTCATCAGTCACCATGATGGATGCATTATTTCAATGTCCAAAACCATTGTATTTCTGAAATTTAAAATTTGCTTAGATGGGTTGATGGCTTAAAGTTAGATTCAGGGCCTAAGGACTAAGGGCAATTCTGGGCATAGTCGAGCATGTGTCCATAAGATAAAAGTCAATCCATTTCAAATCAAACTACGACTTTTTCCCCTTTGATGAACCTATGCCCACTCCTCGTTTTCAACCGATGGGCCCAAGTCAACCGATCCAACCACGACCACCAGGCAACGCAACCAATAGTAAAGTAGACTGAACAAAATTGTTATCTACGTATATTCCTACATGTAACATTACACCAAAAAAGGACATTAATTCTAATTAAAACTCATTACAAAGAACTTTACGTTTATCTTTGGCCATCGTTTTAGGATGATAAGCAACTGAAAATGACAAATTCACTAATCCTACCAGGTACCAAGAACTCATTGCTGTCTAGTCCAAATTGCGGTGGCAGCTGGGGCTTGGACTTCTCCTCCTTTCCCATTTCCTTGCTCGACTCCGGCACCATATTTGGTCTCTTTCTGGCAATGGCAGCTGCTTTTTTCTCGATTCTTCTCCGTGTAACATACTCTTCGGGAATAAACACATCCATTTGAATTATTCCCCAATAGTATGAAAATTGGTGAATGCAAAGTGTAGTTAATTTTAACGCACGGCAAATGCGGTAAGATCTTAAATATATTTATAGGAGAAGAGACTGGGGGATACCATGGGCTTTAGTCCCATGTTTTTGTTCAAACAAGCTACATTTTTTTTTTCTTCAGGTTCCATGGCTTCCAAGGCGCAATGGTTTTCGAAAAGTTTCTGCCTTTTTTGATTGGTGCGACACTTGGAAAAAAGTGGATAGACAAGGGCATGTGCTGAGACAACCGGACAATTATCAAATTAAAATAATGACTTGTTAGAATTTTTTAATAATTAGGTTATTATTAATAAGTGATTTTAATATTTAATAAAATTAGTTAATAAATTTGGTTTTAATAAGAGATAAAAAAAAATAGTTTAAATAATTTAAAGTAATCACTTATACGTAAATTTTGTATTTTTTATTAAATTAGTGTGATTTGATAATTGTGTAAATCTTTAATCCGACAAATATTTAATGAAAAGATTTATAAGTTTTAATTAATTTGGTTAAGATCTTTTTTTATTTTTAATTAACGATATCGATTCAATGAAAACTATAAATAAGAGAATAACAAAAGAATTATTTTTTTTAAATTATAATTATTTTCACATATCAATTATATCTATTCAAACATGTACGTAAGTGAATTAATTCGGTGTTTTAATATTTATATTTTTTCTTAGATTTAAAATTATATTTACATATGGTATCAAATGATGTAATGTAAAATTAAGATCCAAAATTAAATTTACTAAATTTTAATTCCATATGGATACTTGTTTTGAGTGAATATTATGCTTACCGAAATTTCATGTTCGTGTAATATTTTCAAAAAATTAATTTAGGGGTTTTTTCTAATGAAAACAGTGATTAAAATCATATAAACAATTTTTTATAATTCCACCTATAAAGAAAGTAATTGGATTTTCAAACTTTCTATTCAAACTTTGAAGCAAATTTGGAATTTCATTAAAACCTCTATTTTTGTGTTTTCTTTCTAATTAATCTCTAATAATAGTTTGTTATGTGTTTAAGAGATGAACGAATGTTTTAATTTGATTAGAAACAAGGTTTTAATGATCAAATAAGAAACTCATATGAATGGATTACGTGTGTGTCGAGAAACGAATGGACTGAGAATTTGATTTGATTTTATATATTTTTAATCAAATTGATGCATATATCTAGCAAATATGCCATTAAGTCTTATATATAAGATTTTTTATTTGCATCAAGCTGCCTTGAAATATGAAAATTTGAGAGAGATTCTGAATGGGTCTTTTATGGGTTTCGTATCATAAAATTTGATTCTCTAATCCTAATTTTGAAGGTTTTTAAGTGAAACTAATGAATGGGCTTGGTGCATATTTTATAAAATTAATAATTTAAAATACGATATAATAACACAATATAAAATTAATACGAATAAAAAAATATAAAAATTACGTAATTTAAATTTTTAAAAAATTATAAATAAATTTAATAAAATAAAAAATTATATTTTATATTTTTATATCGATATAAATTATAATATTTAATTTTTATGTAAAATATTATACGAATATAATATTTTATATCCAAATTGCCAAATGTAATCTTTATTAATAGTCTGCTTAAGTTTTATTATGGATTAAAATAAACTAAAAAGATGAAAATTTTTTGATGAAAGTTATTACAGATCCTAACGGGTAAAAATCTTAAGAATTCGGGTCATGTTGACCTGCTAGAGGTTAGGGATGAATTCCAGACTTATCAAGTGTATCCAAACCAAATCCACACCATTAAAGTGGAGCCCACGCTCTTCTACCGAAACTTAGCTTTTGTTTATTTATTTATCTACAGATGGATACGTGTTAAAGTCTCGCCTCACTGTATTAATCTTGACTTTGAAGAAGCTTTGCTTTGAACTCACTGGTCAACACATTTTTTTTTTTAACATACATTTATTGAAAGCAACTCTAATGAATATTCATAATTTGTAACACATACAATCGATAACAATTAAAATGAAATAAAATAAAATAAAATAAAAGTTAACGGTGAAATGAATTTGAACAGCTCCATAAATCAACGCATTCCGTGGTCTGTTTCTTTGATTGTTTTGGATAATATAATATTTTCGAACAAATGTTTTATTTAATTAATATTATTAGACATATGCAAGACGTGCAAATCATGAATTTATTATTACTATTTTTTTATTTTTCAACGATATTTATGTCGAATTAAAAATAAAAATGGAAAGTGTAGATATTTAAATTAAAAATCAATTATAAAAAATAAAAAAGAGAGCATTATAAAAAAAATTATAAAATAAATTAATAATGTGATCGAATTGATGTAATATTATTTATATCAAATTGATTTAAAAATTAAAAATATTTTTAATTATTTATTGACGGCACCAATAAATAAAAAAATTATTCTACTTTTTAGATTTAAAAATAAGGATTCCCAGCGACGGTGTTTCTTTAACCATCAGAGATGCACATAGGATTCGGAATTCTATGGATTGTCAACACAAATCTCATGATCAACCCCCCCAAAAAATCGAGAAGACCCATCTCTGATAGATGCGTGACGAAATTCACTAACTTTAAGGAAAAGAAAAAAAATCAATTCTAATTCGATGCTACACAAAGACATATTAATCAAGCCTTGAGACATCTGGATTAATTTGCTTTTTCTAACTTTTGATAAACGTAGATTACAAACAAAAATTATTCAAATTATTAATTTTTTTTATTAGATGTATTATCTTTAATGCATTAAATTTCAAGAGTTTTGTAAGATTTTAGAATAATAATAATAAAAAAAACAGATTGAAGGTTTTGGACTACTCAATTTTCATATATATATATATTTTTTGGGTATGTTCATGATGGATTCACATTTGAAAATTTGGACCACCAGTAGAATAATCCATTAAAGCAAACGTGGTGACTTACACAAATGGGGACAGACAGCAAGTTGACAAGTGTCACGTATATGTGGAAGCAAGTCGACATCTGTAAAAACCTATGTTCGTCAATTCATTTTGCAATTCACTACAAAAGTTTTTATGGTTTTGTGGCCGGCATTTGTTACAAGTTGTTTTTTAATATCCCACGAGCATTTTCTAACCAAATTCCAAAACCGATAAAATTTATATGAAATTTTATAAGTAAAATTTGTTAAATTTTTTTATTAAAATTAAATAAATAAATTTTTTTAAAAAAATTAACTTAATAAATTTATATAATTTAATATAAAAATTAAAATATTATTTATAATTTAAATTTAATCAATAATTATTTAATAATAACAATTTTATTAATATTTTTATTAAAAATATTTATTTAATAAATATATTTAAAATTTTTAAAATTTGTACACATGATTTATATGATAAAATCTTTTAATTTTAATTTTAATTTACTTATTTTTAATAAAAAAATTTTACAAACTTCAGTTCGTACGAATATTTTTCATTTCAAAACTTCATTGGACAAATAAATGGATTACAGCTATACCTCAAAGTTGGAAACATACATTTAATGATAATAAGTTTATAATTTTCTTGCTGAAGGTTCACAGAAATTTACTGAAGCCACGAGAAGTTTCAGCAGCTGTAGTTCTTACCTACATCGTGATCGCGAAGGAACATCCATAAGAACTGAGTAGTTTTAAGGCACCTGCATTTTGGTCTTTTCAGACCATCGCAAGTTCACAGTTACATACCAATTACGCACCATTGATTAATCAATGGTTTGAGGTTTTTCTCAAAATAACATGATCCCATTTCCATTTCCATTCAAACTTCACTTCCAATATTGAGAAAAAAAAAATGAATTCAGAAGAGATTGGACAAGTCAATCTTGATTGGGAATATGATAACACTCCATTTGACTCGTTTTGTTCACTTATATTTGGCTTGCCGTGTGATGAAATCCTTCCTTTAAGAAAGCTACTTATATATAAAATTTATAAAGAAAAGATGCAAAATCAGTCACTTTTTTTGTCAGGACCCAACTTCTATATGTACCTACCACAACCACCAACTAGTTTCCAGCTGACATTTCCAAACAGTTTCTCTTTCTCTATCTATCTGTTTCTCTCCTTGTTTTGCGGTTGCTTAAAATCTGTCTACAATTTACCAGAGGTTTTTTGAGAGGGGAATCAATATTTTTGGTGTTCTTTTTGGTGGTGTATCTGTGGCTAAGTTAAAGGAATACGTTCTGGGAGAGGAGGAAGCCAACAAAATGGAATCCTCTGAACCCAAGCAACTGCAGCAACCTGTCAAGGAAGAGAAAGATGCAGCACATGAGAATGATATAGACGTAGAGAAGAGCGTGATCCCAGTTCCTGAAAGTATGCTCTCTCTTTGATTCTGTGTTTTCTTTTCCCATTTAATTCTTCAAGTAACGCTTATGATTCTGTGGAATGTTTTTATCAACGTTATCTCAGTGAAATTTGCTTATCTTGTGTGATTTTTGTATTAGGGATCTTCTCTATTTCACATGTCTTCAAGGGTCATGGCAACCTGGAAATTTCTTGGTTTGATTTTGTTTTAGAACCCTGTTCAATTTTGGGGCTTCATTGTGCACTGAAACTGTAATTCTGCATATATTTTACAAGATATTAGTATTAGACTGTTTGCAATTGGTCAAAAGTTATTTTGAAAACTGAAAAGGAAAAGGGTGTCTCGAAGATTCGTTTTGGTTTTATATATTTCTATTGTTTGCATCTGCTTTTGCCTTTATGAAAAGCCAGGTGCATAAGATCCTAGTTATTGCCGCTAATCCTCATTAAAGGGAAAAGTAGAATAGAGAAACAAATCATGCCCTTGATATTATGCAGAGAAATATTCAAATTATGATGCTTTTCGTCAGTTGTTCTGTGGGCCTTCTGCCATTAAAACTTCCTTTTTTTGTGTTTATCAGTTGCTTAACTCATTGCTTCTAACAAAATGGAAGAAACTTCTAATTATACTACATAATACACTAGTGAGTAGCTCCACACCATTACAATAACCAATTTCAGCGTTATAATACTCAAAATCACCCTTGTAGTAATTAATCTCAGTTACTTTCAATCTCACCACCCATCCATATAAACTTTAAATAGATTAGATCTGATGAAGGGAAGGCTGGCCTTTGTATTTCTTGCCCTTCTTTTTGCATTTTCATTACTGGCATATTTAGGGGAAATTAATTCTTTCTATATGTTAGAAGGATATTTTAATATACTCTTCCAAGAACCTTGAATGTCACAACCAAACCAAGCATTCTGGTTTTCCTCTTACATGTTTACCCAGCAAATTCTTTATCACTTGATTTAATCAAAACAATTTTCTCTGTTGTTTTCTTTCTTTCTGCGCCAAGGTATTGTATCTACCAGAGGAACTTGGTCACAAACATGCCATGGGTTGTGCATGTCCTAGCAAATTACTTATAGCTAATGCTTGAATATATTCAGTTTGAAATAATACAGGCTGCCCTAAGATATGACATTATCTGACCTTTAAATGTTGAAAATGGCAGAAGTTGCATCAGCACCAGCTGTAGAGAACAGTCCAAACGACAGAGGTATATGGCTTTGTGCTCATTTGTTGGAAAGCATCTGTCCTTTGGAAATGGTACATTTATTTGCAAAATAATTGACTTATCAGATATCATTTCAGATTCTGTACTTGCACGAGTTGAGACAGAAAAAAGACTAGCTTTAGTTAAAGCATGGAAGGAAAATGAAAAGGCAAAAGTAGATAACAGGTAAGAGGCCATCTGTCAAACTTATACGGTTCTTTGTTTTTCAGTTCTGCCATTCTGCAAAATAGCCAAACTCTGAGTTATGGTTTATCCAATATAAGTTCTTAGCCATTGAAAATTCAAATTAAAGTATTATCCAGAGTGAAATATCTATTATTTGGTTTCATAATGCTTTCAATACCCATTTATGTCAGGGCACATAAGAAGATATCTGCTATTGAATCATGGGAGAATACCAAGAAAGCTGACGTAGAAGCACAGCTAAAGATAATTGAGGTAACATTGGACTCCTGAGCACAACTTGCTTGGATTAGAACAACAGGTTTTAGAGATTGTGGTTGTGGGTACTGTGTTTGACAAAGGTCTTGCTTTGGTAGGAAAAACTGGAAAAGAAGAAGGCAGAGTATGCTGAGAAAATGAAAAACAAAGCTGCCGAAATCCATAAGGAAGCAGAAGAAAAAAGAGCAATGATAGAAGCCAAGCGAGGAGAAGAATTTCTCAAGATAGAGGAGACAGCAACGAAATTTCGTGCAACTGGATATACACCTAAGAAGTTTCTTGGATGTTTCAGCAGTTAACATCCTTTATTGATATTCAAAGGAGAGAAAACTGTTTTTTTTTTTTTCTTTTCTGGATTTCAGTTTGTTCTTTTTCCATCTCCCCCTGTTGGTTTGTAAATGGGACGTTCTAATATTGGTGAACATCAAATTATCTGTGTGTAGATATATATGTGAGATACATTAATGCTATTTTCATAAATCTAGTTGTAATTTTTTTAGAAATTTATGGCTTGTACCTTATATTCTACTATCAGTTTTCTATTCCATATCTCCTGAGCTGAGGCTTTATTGTACTTCTCATGGAGTGAAAAGGAACTTCAGCTCCGAAGTTTCCAACTTCACTTTCTTACTCTCCTGCTCCATCAAAAAGATCTTAATTCAGTACAAGTTATGAGATTAAAACTTAATTCAGCATGAATTGATCTCATCACTAGTTCAGGGAAAACATGTTTGCTTTTGCAGAAAATCATCAGTAGAAGACGCAAAATGTGGATAACAAAGTTTTTGCTTTTACAGCAAAGCTTTTAAAAGACTATTGGATTGGAATTTAATAATCATCCCTAAGACTAAGGGGGTCCATTTGAGAGGCCGATTAAATAGCTCCCACTCTAAAAATTCCACGTCACCATTTGATGATCACACCCCAGCACTTTGATTGAGCTATCATTGATGGTATACTATCTCTATTTAGATATAATTATCACAGCTAATTACAAAGAAAAATACATTTTTTGAATAGAAATTATCATATAATTTTTTTTTTATTCATTTCAATTATGATCTAAAAAGGTCAGGATGCCACCATATACAGGAGTGGATTATCTGTGATCAGGTTGTAAACTTCTCTTTCATTTCTGGATCATCCTTAAAAAACTTGGTCAGCAGGAAACCTTGCGTATCTGTCCTTCCATGGAACATGACCCTACACTTGGAGACTGAATGTTATATATGCCAAGGAGTTAGGGATGGACCTTTGATTGCGTATCCTCAATAAGCGTTGATTCATATCCTCCATTCGGCTTTCCATTACATTTATTACCCTTAAACCTGCCTTTTTAACATTCGCGAACCAAGGTGAAAGGCAATAGACAATTTTCTGAGTTCGTTTTCTATCTCAATCTTCTGAGATAGAGATCAGAACTCGTGTTATCAGAATTTCTGTTGTAATTGCTTTTGGACTTGTAATACAAGAGGAAAATGGCATTCACTGGGACAACAGAGAAATGCAAAACTTGCCATAAGACTGTTCATTTTATTGATTTATTATCAACTGACGGAATTTCTTATCACAAGACCTGCTTCAAATGCAGTCATTGCAATGGACTTCTGGTGGTATGTATAATAACTATAGCCATAGAATTGCTTACATGACAGTCAAAGTTTGATGAACTTTCTGCTTTCATGAAATTAAGATTGGATGAATTAGAAAACGTTAACCATCATCAGACATGTATGATAATATATGTTGGTGAAGTGTCTCCCCTTTTTCTTCTTTGATGTATAAAGCATTGAAGCTTGATCAATCTAATATGTTGGTCACATTTTTTTTTTTTTTACAGATGAGCAGCTATTGCTCAATGGAAGGAGTCCTATATTGCAAGCCTCACTTTGAGCAACTCGTCAAGGAGACCGGTAGTTTCACAAAGAAATTTCAATGTGAGAATCCCTTTCCTGTCCAAACCACTTCTCTCCACCCGATCAAACATTAATACTTTTTTAATTTCTCATTTAGGCTAACAATTTTTTTTGCTTATTTGGTGGTTTAATTTTCAGCTGGGAAATCTGACAAGCCAAATGGACTGGTACTCGAATTCTCTCCCACCATTGCCTTAAACTTTGTATAATTTGCCATGTAGATGCCCAGATTATTTTGATTTAATCAATGTTCGTTTTATTTTACTAGCAGTCAAGGTCTTCTAGCAGGCTTGCATCCTTCTTCTCTGGCACACAAGATAAATGTGGAGTCTGTAACAAAACCGCATACCCGTTGGAGAAGGTAACCTAATATTTTAATCCAAGATCACCCATTTGATTGGGATGTTAATAAGCTGCCAAAATTCAGAACTAAAAAACTGATGATTTTGGGTTAAAACAATAACAGGTGACTATGGAGGGAGAAAACTACCATAAATCCTGCTTCAGATGTTCTCATGGGGGTTGCTTCCTTACAACATCGTCATATGCTGCATTGAATGGCATCCTCTACTGCAACCACCACTTTGCTCAGTTGTTCAAGGAGAAGGGCAGCTTTAGTCATCTTACCAAGACAGCTTCCTTGAAGAAAAACTCAGCAGGAGCTTTAGTGGAACGAAAATCTGAATCTGAATCTGAACCAGAATCAAATCCAGAAGATGAGCGAAAACCAAAAGCAGAGGCAGACGCAGAAGAAAAATCTGATCAACCTGTTGCACAAGACCAATAGTAGAATGCTCACAGAACCTTCATGGGCATCGGGCTTATCCGAGTTGGGTGTTGACGTTGTTCTAGTTTTCGTTCGTCTCATGGAGAAGTTCCTGTGGCTCCAGCTCTCCCTGTGCTCCAAATTAATATCATTCTAATTTATATGGAAATCTTATGAAACGGAAACCAAAATTGTTTTTATTTTCCTTTCATGCATTGGAAAATCATCCTTGCATGCAGGTAAATTTTAAATGTAAAGGGGACCTGGAAGGGTTTTGTGTAGATGGAGATACTTCCGGACTTCAGACTTTCACCGTGCATTGCATTTGAAATCAGATGTTTGTTTCAAATCTCTTATTTTCTCCCCCATTTGATAATAATTTGACATTGACAAATTCTTTCTCGTTTCATAAGTACTGCAGCATTAGCTATGTACCAAGACATAAGAATGTTCAAGGAAAAGATGACAGTCCAAATTGCTGGAGGCTTAATATGATATAGTGATAACACATGAAAATAATTAAAAAATAAAAATGATATATTTAAAATTTTAACAAAAAAAAAATATAAATTTGATAAAAAAACCGTATTGGATGTTTGATATATTCATATAAATTTAATATAATAATTTTATATTTTACACAAATTTAACTCAATGTAAGTACAAAAATAATCATATATATATATATATATATATATATATTTACTCGACCCTAGTTAAGCCAAATCTTGGGCCCTGAATCAAAGTCAAATTTCGATAGTTAGGTTGCCCCATTGAACTCAGACCTCAAAATTAAATTGGAATCTCTAGTAAAAACTATGGCCTCCACGTGACATGACACGTGTTTTTCTTTCACTAAAAAAACAGAAAAGCAACATCTAGCACAATTAATTCCAGGTGGCAAAATATAAGTGGATGCAAATTGAAGTGCAAATTGTTGCACGACATGAATTGGACTTCAGAAAGTTCACTATCTGTTGGAGAAGAAAATATCTCAAGCACTGTCTTCCGTTTCTTGCCCTAATGACCACAAAAGCCTTGAAAAAGATACTAGTATTTGAGTTCAAATCAAGTCTCTCCCTCCCCTTTTCATGTAACAGGACATTGTCCTCCTTTGAAACATTAAAAGAGAAAATATCTCAAGCACTTGAGCGCAAGGTAAATGTTTTAGCCTCTGGATTTTGGTAATTGCACAAATTTGTTGCTGCCTAACTGTTGTAGCACTCAGGTTAATGTTTTCTGTACAACCAGGATGGTAACATCACTGATGTATTTGCTTCCCCGAGGAATGAACATGACTGTTAGGGAGATCCATTCCAGAAAATCTCAACTTTATCGAACTCGTGTCTGATGAATTTAGGGAATCTAAGAGACTAATCCTTATTACATCTGATGCATCGGCACAGGGAATGGATTATCCTGATGTCACTTTGCTTATTCAGGTACTTCGAAATTTGTATTTGCACTAAAAGTTCACTTTATTGAATTACATCTGTGATGCTTATGTTCTACGATCTTGTGTTCTTTATGAAGCACTGCTGTTACACATCAAAGATTTGTATTTGTACATTAAATCTGTATCCTCAATCTTCGGGATAAGTTGCATTACTTTTGAGTTTTTGGAATTGTGGTCATCCTGAGAAAAGTCGTATTAAATTATGTACTTGTCACATCAGCTTTCTTCTGTCAGAGCTCTCTGAAGAATTATAGTCTATAATGAACTGCTGAAGTAAATAAACTATTATTACACGATTGAATAAAGAAATATGGTTTGTGGAAAACGTTCAGCCCTGGGGAAAGCTTTGACCATGACCAATCCATATGTTTTAAGCACACGTTTTGAAATAAATGACTACTATAGATTATGATAATTGACTTGTTAAGACCTTTTAAAATCTGATCTGCCCATTTTTAGTTCTCCCTTATGCATTGGTGTCCATTTTCAGTCTACAATCAAATTCCCACATGTTATTTGCTTCCCAATTTCCCTTCTGTCACTATTCTTTTTGTACATTCTTGCTAGTTTAAAACAGCCTTTTAGTTCATGTTCCTCCAGAAAAGGTACATTTGATCCATTTCCTGGTTGATTTCTCTTGATGTTTCCTGAAACCTTTGAGTTTTCTAGTGTGATTGCTTGTGAATATTGCTTGCTCACAATCCAAAATGTGAACATATTCTGGCAAAATAAATGTAAGGCCTATGCCTCTATATTCTTCATCTAGACATCTGGAACAATTATTATGTTCAGCAGTTCACAATCCAAGCTTTTCATATTATTGAAAGTTGAGGATGAAAAACAATGTCTTCAATCAATTTAAAATGATCAAAGCATTGACTTCCAAGCTCTAAATAAAAAAAAAGTCCTCAGTCTACCTCAGACTAACATTATGCTTTCAGACTGTGTTGATTATTAACTCCAATGATGTAATTGCAAGGAAACATAAATGTCAATACTTTGGATTCATATAGACAAGAAAATTTCACAAGGTAATGATGTCCTTTCAAGAAATGTCAAGTTGGGCATCTGACTGGTCCTTCCACAAAGCTTGAAAGTCTTTAGGAATTGGCAACGGTGGGAACCCTACTCATTTTCTTTGTGAGGTAAAGGTCATGCAAAGAAAAGTTTCAGAGTTCGAATCTTGGCGTTTGCAATCATTTGTTTTATTATCAAGTTGCGGCATTTTTTGTAAAAGAAAAGTTTACCATGAAAACCTGCTTGTTAATGCATATTTTTCTTTTTTCAGATCAGGTTGATGCCTCAGGTACAAAACAAGTTAAAGATGATCACCTGAAATCCGGTCCAGTTTATTTCTATCTTTTGGTTCTGGCTGATGACAAACCCTAAATCCCAGACAAAAAACCACCTAACCAGGTGAGGCATAAAGAATTTACAGGTATGGATCCGATCGTAATCAAACATGCTTTGATCCACCTATTTAATGCCTAATTAAAACGATTTCATCTAATTGCCTGTTATGAAACCAGCCATATGCGAAGGCCTATGAGGTAGTGGGCAAAGGTTATATCCCTGTAGAGCTTAAGAACACCTAAGCCCGAGTGAATGGAGCTTGAAGAGGTTAGCCTGTTTAAATGTTCTGATCATGCCTTAAAATTTCAGATCAAAACCTCCTGGAAAACAGAAACTATAGAGTTCATGCAACCTATCGGGGCTAAATTGTTATTTTCTAAAGGAATTCGTTTCAATTAACAGTGAACTGTTGAATTATTCCAGTGGGTTGGTGTGGTTTTCATAATGTTTGAAAAGAAATCCAGGAAGGACAAATAACATGCTGTTGCATGGAATTCATGATTTGTTTCAATTCAAACAGGCCATTAAAAAAAGAATTAAGCTGCAATCTTCAAAATCACAATCATTCTATATCACTACCTAAATACGTACATAATATTTTCCATTTCTCTTTCCGGGAAAATTGTCTCCTCTTGAGCAATAACATCTTGTCAGCTGATGTGTCACTACGACTTTCTGCTATCACTTTATATTCCCCCGAACGCAAAAAGAAAAAAGTGTTTTATGGCATAAAACAAACAATTTTCCACACGAAATATATTTCAATTATAAGCTTTAATCTCCTACCAACTAATTGGAGCCAAACCTTGTGGTTTCATCTCAATTTTCATCACTTATCCTTTCTGCATAAATCAACCTTCAACTCTTCATCATTGGGACAAATTTCAATTACTTAAAAATTGATTACAAAATATCAAATCCTAATTAAAATTTAACGATGTCATGCAATTATTTGATGGCCGGCCCTTCTAGCTCCGACTGAAATAGTACCAATATATCTTATAAGCGATTACATGTGATGAAGAAAACTATTGGGAACAACAATGGTGCCTGCCAGTTGTTGACGCCACCGGCCAGCACGTGTTGATGGATTCACCTTAAGCAAGAACCATCAATAATTAATCTTGAGCTTGAAATAAAATTATCAAAACCCAAATTGGCAATAAGATTGACACGAAAGTAATGTAAAGTCAACGGTTACAACAGCCTCTTAGAAAACGGTTTTTCAGGTTAGCACTCCACATGAAGCAAAAGGACCAATTTAGCCTGTCATCTCTGCTGTGATATCTGTTTCTTTTTTTATCACTTTTATCTTTCACAATCTTAAGCTTTTTAAGCCATGCAAAAGCCAAAAAGCAACCTTCTCCTCTACAAGCATAATGAATAGATTGTGTTTGCAGAAAAGGAAAAAGAATAAATACTAAGTTCAACTACATATCATATAAAATTTTTGAACTTTCTGCTGTTCTTGCCTTCTGCAAATAATATAATGAGATTTCAGTTAATCAGGTTCAATTTTTTTTAATAGAAACAGTCTGAATTTAAGTTGTGAATATATGTGTCAGAATTTAGGATGCTGAGGATTATTCATCAATGCAAGTGAAGAAACAAATCACAACAACTACTACTGCTACTAATTTCCTGCTGTAGTTTTGGGTTGAAGTAATTAATGACATGATGGCAGATTTAGCCAAGCATGAAGGGTGTTTCTGCCATTTCAACAGAAGTAGTTGCTAGTATTGGCTATATCTTCCCACAGATTGCTTGACGCCTTTAATCTCATTTAGACTTCTTCACACCTGCCTTTTTAAGTGAACAAACTCAACCCCATAAACTTCTTGCAGTTCTTCTAATCATCTTTTCTGCCCTTTCTCATCATTAAAATCATGAGGACTTGCAATCCCAAGTTCTCATTTATGTTCTTTATGATCATACTAGCCACCATCCACCCATCAAGTTGCCGCTACATCCATAGAAGTCTAAGCAGTGAAGCTGAGCAAACAACCATGACAGAATTCTCCACATGGCATTTCCCTGCAAATCCTACTGAGGCATCCAGAGCAAAAAAGAGTCAACCAATTTATCAAGTTTCTTATCGAACCGTTCCTGGGGGACCAAACCCCCTCCATAACTGATTATCAAGTTCTTTATGCATTAAGTTATACAAAATTTTGGCGACTCGTACTGCAGTTCCCTTTTTTTTTTCCTTGATAGATATGTATAATAGATACAGTTTGAGAAAAAAGAATGAAAACTATTTGCAGAAACTGCAAAATTATTTGTTTGATTCTCAGAGATGATAAGTCATGTACTGTAAATAGCTGGATTTTTACTTCCCAGGAAGCTGCACTGTTGCAAGGTAATTAAATGGATCATATATCGTTTGTAGAGTAAACTTGATCTGAAATTAAGAATTACAGGCAAGGAAGCCTTTGAAAGTCAAGTAACCAATAATACTTGAATATGTACTCTGGATTAAGTTTAATTCAACAGATGGCCTATTGAATTGGTAATGGCCACCGACTACAAGTACAAATATTTTCAGGAAGAACTGTGGAATTGTTTTAGCTTTTTAGCATCATTCCGCTAACTCATTTTTTGGATTTTTTAGTGTCTTCTGTGTGAATGGTGGGGCAATTTTGGCTCTTATGTATTCAAAAGAACTGGAAACAATATTTTAGTTGCGCGTTTATACACCTTCACTGTTTATTGCTTCAAGGTTAAAAACCACACTGTGGTGGCTTTCTTTGATGTTTACTTCCGTGATTAAAGAAAAAAAAACCAATGAGAACATTGACGGTTTTACTTATCAATTTATCATACATGCAGTTGCTATCAATATGATAAAAGTTTTATTTTCTATTATATAGAAGAGTTGGGTTAGCAAGCAAACCATTCCGGCCAAAACTTCAAGCTGACAGGTTGAAAATCATCAGTCAATGGGACCTCAAAATCTATGAATTTCAAATCGAGGAAGAACCCGAAATGAAAAGCAAGATATATATACATATATATATATATATATATATATATATGTAGAAATAGGACTTAACAGATTGAATTGTTCAAAACAAGTTGCTTTCATACAAGAATTTTGTGGTACCCTGGTCCCGTTACAAGCTATATGTGCATTACATTTCTTGAAACATAACCATCATGCATGCTAGTTGTTTGCTTTTTTCAGATTTGGGGGGTTTAAAATTATCCTAGGACTCAAAGATGAGTCATCACTCATCCAAAAGGGACAAAAGAAGGGGATTTGGGATACCATATTACATAATATTAACGCTTTAAGTGAACAAGAAATGCAACTATTGATGTACAGAATCCATTGTTTTTTGAAACTTTCGAATTATGAACAGTAACTAAAGTATAATGGGGGAAATGCAAACCCCCGGATCTTACGAGAAACTAGGTTGGGTCATAAAAGTTGGCTTAAGCCTGAAGGCGTAGAGAAGATAATAGTTTTTGATGATATAATGGATGACCCTAATCTAAATCTAGATGTCCTTTTACAATAATTGAAACTAATAAGCCTACAAAATTTAATCAAGCAATAAGAAAACAAAAAAAAAAAAACCAAGTAAATACCGCAGCTGCCCCACCCTAGTGTAAAACTTCTCCAGCTTCGAGAAATTTTGAGACTCTGGAAAAGTTCTGGAAGATGTGAGTTGCTTAGCTTTGCCTTCTTTGAGAATTCCTTGTTTTTCTGCCTGAGCTTGGGCTTGGAGGAGATACCCTGTACGTGTGCAGCAGCGCTCCTTTACGCTAATGTTAATAGCAGGTTTCATTTCATTCTTCGGAAGATCTTTCTCATTGTCAAGCATGTCTCATGGCAATTCAGTAGGTACCGTGGGCTGGGATCATTTGGGAAGGCAATGTCCTCCTGAGAGTTAGATATCAAATTTTGATAGCAGCCAAATTAGGCCCAGAGCTTTCAAAGCCTACAAAAAGAACAACTATTATAAAATTTGTGCCTATTATGATGCATCATTTAGCAGGAGAAATTAAGAACTCATTTTTTAAAAGCCAAAACAACCAAAGGTAAAATGAAACACAATAGAAAATAAGCAAGCTATCAGAATCATTTGCAACCAACAATTAACAAAACTTTTGGGAAAATCTCCTAAACCAGCTCTAAAATCAATGTCCCTTTAAGGAAATTGGCAACTGATAACCCACCAAAGTATCCAATCATATTTTCATTGAGAAATTCCACGATAATACTTATCAAAAAGCATCTTTGTTACCATTCACATCGACACAACATGCTTCATTTATCTGCAATGCTTGCCTTGTCTGCAACCATGAATATATATTTTATAAGCTTTGAGGTAGCTAAAATTTTTTCAGCTCCTTACAATGCACCTCTGTCTGTTCAATAATCTCATAATAATGTCAGCAGAAACAAAGATACATGTAAAAAGTCCATAACAATAGCAATTAGCATCTTTTTCAAGATCTTACAAAATGAATGCCATATACAATCTCAAGTTTCCTGCCGTTCTCTGATGTAAAATCAAAACATTATGATAAATCAAACTGTCAAGATAATCAATTTACGGTCCAAGGCCCATTACAATTCTAAAAAAATTCCTGGATAAAACAAGATGTCTACAATAACTACTTCGGAAATCAATGATATAGTAGAATCCACACCCGAGCTTTCCCTTATCAGAGGGTAGAAATAACATTTCCAATATAGCAAAGAACATCTACCATTTTCGACTCAAAAATGCTAAAAATGCATACAACAAAGCTTCTGTAGGGACCTACTGGTTGCTATCTCAAACTCTGACCCAAAATTCACTTGCATCCACTATTCTAAAAAATTGCTAAATCATTATTGAAATTTTCTTGCATTACCAACCATGAGAAATGCAGGGTAAATATATCACAACCTCGAGAATAACAGAAGAAAATAGCAACAGAAGGCACTTGCTAATCAGGATCATTAACAGAAGGAAGAAACTTAGAAAAAAAGGAAAACTAAAGTAAGCACATAACCAACAAGAGGAAGTAACATCAATCTTTGATTCATGTTACAATCAAGTTATCGACATGGACAGCCATAAAAAAAAATCAAAATCGAGATTCGACAGTTTTTTTTGGTTATTAGTATTCAAACAATAATTTCATCAAAAAAGCAATTATTTTCAACGAACCGAAGATCGTAAAAGAATAAAGAGAGGTTTCTCTTTCTGTCCCTCATTTGGCTTCAATTTCCCTTTGCTTTTATATGTTTAGCCTCCCGACTGCGGAAGCTTTTATAAGCAAAATAAGCTAAAACGACTTTGACAAACTTAATATTGAAGTCGGATTAAAAAATTATTTGACAGTGTTTTTATATTTTTAATAAATAAAAATAGAGTGATTTATTTTATTAAATTAAATTATAAATTATGAAAATAAAATAAAATAAAATAATTAATATTTTTATTATAATAAAAAATAAACTAAATATAAATAATATAATTCTTCTTATAATTTTATGAATATTATAAAATATTATTCAGGTTATCCAAATATTATGCAATGTATTACTATAAAATTCTCAATGATATTAAATTGCACTATTTGATTTCCAAAAATTGAGCTATTTTTTAAAAAAATAAAAAAATGAGTGAAAACAGATTTGATAATTAAAAATAAAAATAAAAATAAATTGAAATATAAAAAATAAAAGATATTTTTAATTATGAAAATAAAAATGTACATTATCTTTTTTTTTGTGTTTTGCAAATTATCATATTTTAACACTTTTTAATATCATTAATTAATAAATATATATTATATTTATAATTAAATTACATTAATAATAATATCATTGAATTTTTTTTATTGAATATATATTTTAGAAAACAAAAAAAATAAAAAATAAAAATTATTTTCTGAAAAATAAAAATAAAAATAAAAGCATAAAACATTTTCTTAAACCAAAGAGACTTTTCAACAAAATAACTTTTCCAGTGTATCAATTAACCGCAATAAACCCAAGATCGTTGAACTCGATTGTATAGGAGTACACAATAATATCATTCAACCAAATCAAACTTCGAAATAAGTTATTGAAACAGAAATTAAAATGGAAACCGCAATTGGTGGCCTAGTCCATGTATGAAGACTGCTTCCACCCTCCGAAAGATTCTTCAACTTCAAAATCCCTGGTGTAACTTTCCTGGTATGAAGCAATAGAAATTTCAGTTACTTGAGAATAATCTACCAGTTCATGTTAAGAAAGGCGAAAGGAAAACAATAAAGGGAAGGGAAAGAAATGTTGGGCTAAAAGCCTCTAATCCAATCACACCAATGGAAGCGAAATCAAATAATAAATCAAACACACAAGAGACAATAATTTAACGTGGTTCGGTCCAACTAACCTACATCCATGGATGAAAAAAAAAGATCCACTAGTTATAGAGAATTACAAACTTACATCAAATCACCAACCTCACTCAACAATCAATACTTATAAGAAACTCTCAATCTCCTCTAGTCCTATGGAGTATTTTCAACCCAAACAAACACAAACTCAAACCCTTGTGCACCCTTTCAACATAACCAAACACATACCTTTATGCTCCCATACATCATACCTATGTGGACCCTCTCAATCTCCTCTAGTCCACTCACAAACATACACACCCATAAGACCCTCTCAATCTCCTCTAGTCCACTCACAAACATACACACCCATAAGACGTAAAGCCCCAATACTCCTATGAGGTGTCTATCTCACAAAATCCTACAACTCTCTTACATCTTTTTCTCATACCTAATCCTGTAGAGACTTCACCTATTTATAACCATACAAACTTGCCTATTAAGAATCCCTCTCCTCCTAGAATTCTTCTCCTGTAAGTCAAACTTGCCTATTAAGAATCTCTTTCCTTTTAGAATTCTTCTCTTGCAAGTCAAACTTACCTATTAAAAATCTTCTTTCTCTTGGAATTCTTCTTTTACAAGTCTTCTTGTTCATTAAGCAATATCTGACAAATCTCAAACAAATCTCTTATGAGATTTGAGTCAATATTCCCAACAATCTTCACCTTGATTCAAATTTCATCAATCATCTGTCTTCATGCTAGACATACTTGACTCCACCTGCAATGGAAGTCTTACAATCATCTTTTCTTCTCTTGTGTCTTCACGCTTCATACAAATCAATCCTCAATCTTCAAAACTCGAACTCAAACTCTTCTCTTGAATTGAGCTCCTCTAAGCTTATTTCTTCCTATGTCTTAAACCAAGCTCTTCTCATATCTCAAACTGTCAACTATTCTCATGTCTAGAATCATCGGCTCTTTCTACATCTTGAATCTTCAACTCTTCTCACGTTTCGAACCTTCAACTCTGATACCACTTGTTGGAGAACACCACGGCTCTGATACCATTTGTTGGGCTAAAAGCCTCCAATCCAATCACACCAGCAGAAGCGAAATCAAACAATAAATCAAACACACAAGAGACAATAATTTAACGTGGTTCGGTCTAACTGACCTACATCCACGGATGAGAAAAAAAGATCCACTAGTTGTAAAGAATTACAAACTTACATAAAATCATCAACCTCACTCAACAATCAATACTCATAAGACACTCTCAATCTCCTCTAGTCCTATGGAGTATTTTCAACCCAAACAAACCCAAACAAACACAAACCTAAACAAACACAAACTCAAACCCTTATGCACCCTTTCAACATAACTAAACACATACCCATATGCTCCCATACATTATACCTATGTGGACCCTCTCAATCTTTTCTAGTCCACTCACAATTAAACATACACTCCCATAAGACGTAGAGCCCCAATACTCCTATGAGATGTCTATCCCACAAAACCCTACAACTTTCTTACATCTTTTTTTCATACCTAACTCTGTAGAGACTTCACCTATTTATAACCCTGCAAACTTGGATCAAGCATTAGAGAGTAGTAAGCATGAGGGAATGTCTGATTGCTTAATTGGATTAGAGATTCAAAAGAAAGCTGTTAGTACCTAATTAGATTGGCGCTAGCTCAGAGGTAAAAATACAGTGTGTTGACTGAGAGTACTACCGAAGAGTTTGGTGGGATAAGCTTGAAGGTATTTATGCTTGAAGTCATTTGACTAATAGATTATGTTTGAAAGATGGATCTATTATTCTCCTGAAGATGGGAAGAAGTATGAGGTCTTCATAATCACCTGAATGAGTTTAATAAATTGGTTTCTCAGTTGTAGCGATTCTCTGTTGATGAGTTAAAGATGAACGAGAAAGCGCTTTAATTTTGTTGTCATCTTTGCCCTAAGTCTTATAGGCCTTTAGTTCAGACGTGTTGGTAGGCAGACTACTTTGAAGTTGGATGATCATGACTGCCTGGTTGCGTGCAGAAATTGAAAGGTTTATTGGGAGCTTCAGATCATCACCTGGGGGAGTACACTAGCTGTAGAGGGTTTTGATCGAGGGAGGACTCAAAAGAGGATTGATGGATCAAGATGGAGATCCAAATCAAGAGACAGAGATTACAGTGATGTAGAATGTTATTATTGTGGTGAGAAGGGACATATCCAAGTGTGCTGCAGGAAGCTGAGAAGGGATATGGCTGCTTTCAAAAGGGCAAATGATGAGAAGAAATCAGATGAAGAAAAGAGTGATACTGCTGCTGTCGTGTCTGATGATGATGATGTTGTTTTAACAACTTGTGTGGATGAGACCCAGACTTTGAAAAGTGGTAAATGTTGGGTTTTAGATTCAGCTGCTACAGTTCATGTTTGCATTGATAAGAGCTGCTTTGTGGAGTTGAATGAGAATGAAAAGTATGGGGATATTGTGGTTGCTAACAAAGAAAAGGTGCAGATTCAAGGCATTGGGAGTGTTCGCCTTAGATCTCACAATGGTGTCATTAGGATGCTTCGTCATGTAAGGTATGTACCAAATTGTCACTACAATTTGATTGCTTTGGGTGAGTTAGCTTCTCGGGGGTACACATTTATGGTAGTAATGATTGGTTGAAAGTGTATAAGAATGGTAGTGTGATTCTACAAGGGAATAGGGTCAATCACTTGTACATGTTTGATGGAAGCTCAGTTGCTGGAATGCCTGTGATGAAAGAAAAGAAGAAAGGTAAGCATGTTAGCTTTGCAGATACTGTTGAAGTGTTTGGAGATTCAAGTCAAGGGAGGATTTGTTGGGATTTGCCTTGAATCTCAAAATCCCACATCGAAAGTTAAGTAAGTTTGAATTTGTCTTGTATCCCACATCGGGAGTTTAGTAAAGGTATAAAGGGTTTCACCCCTATAAATAAGATGTTTTAGTTTTAGTTTAGTAACCCCAGAGAGTTAGACACTAAGAGAATAGCTAAGTGAGTAGGCTATTAAAGGGTGTAATTGGGTTTTGGGTTAAGTTTTGAGTAAGGAGTTTTAGGAGACTTTTCTCATTCTAAAAGTCTCACAATTGTAAAGATTTATTTGATAGTGGATTGTGTTTGGAGTAGGCCATTTTGAGTTGGGCCAAACCAAATATATTTGTGTGTTCTTATTCTTGATTTGAGCTTGCTATTTTGTGTGTGGTTGCTGCGCGTGGGTATTGTTTTTTCCCAACATTCTTTTCCTGTAAATCAAACTTGTCTATTAAGAATCCCTTTCCTTTTAGAATTCTTCTCTTACAAGTCAAACTTACCTATTAAGAATCCTCTTTCTCTTGAAATTCTTCTTTTGCAAGTCTTCTTGTCTATCAAGCAATATCTGACAAATCTTAAACAAATCTCTAATAAATCTCAAACAAATCTCTTATGGGATTTGAATCAATATTCCCAACAAAGAACCCTTTCTAAAGCTGAATATTTCTTTCAAATTTGTGCTTTGTTAAGAGCATAACAATCAGGAGTTTGATACTCATTTTCGGATAATCATAAATCAATGTTGGAGCTCAGTGCTGTATGCATGGCTTTCTCTTCATCTTCTAATAGTCAAATGGAAATGTAATTATAGACAAGAAACAAAAGAAAATTACCTCTGGGGTGAAAGTGAGACCAATTCTAATCTCCCCACGATATTCTTCATCCTTGACAACGTTATATGCAGTTGGGGGAAGTTTTCCTTCCACAAATACAGGCTCAAGAGGAATGCTGCAAATATCATAAAAACAAATTCAATGGGATCTAGAATGTTGAAATCTATATTTCATTGCTCAAGGTTCAAGCAAGAACTTCAGTCCTCTTATCAAATGAAATCTTGTGTAAACAAGTTTAGTGGCAAGTTTTATGTGGGTTTTGAGTTTTGCTGATAATTGTCACAATCTTTTGAGAATTCAGTAATACTCACGTTGCTTCTCCCACGAAATCATCATGAGAACCAAAATCACTGTCCATTATTTTCAATTTGAGTTCAGAAACACCTTCGGAGACATTGAATACAAAATTCTCATTCCACACCGGATCAGACCCTTTTCCTGCATTTTTTTTTTTTTGTTTTCAAACTCTATTAGTTCCTATTTATCTACAGTACAAGAACAAATTTTGATGATAATTGATCTAATATCCAATAAGAAGAGGAATGCTGGGAAAGAATTTAGATTGATCTAATCACCAACCTGACGCAACACTGCTTTTCTGCTCCTGGGTACGGCAAACGAGGATCACATAAGGATCCATCTTACCTGCTCGTTTCCAAATTTTAGTTCTCAAAAACATTAGCAACAAACATACAAATATAAGCAATAAAACAGGGGATTAGGCCAAATAGTTTCAAAAAAATTAATCTAAATGACCATTGTTGGATAAAGGTTCAAGATCTAATCGAAATTGTCATGATCATAACAGATACACCTAAAATTATTCAAGTGTACCCAGATCTTAACAGACAAGATTGAAATTGAAAAAGATTAAAAAAAAAAAAAAAGAAACAAACAAACTCACTGAGAAAATCTGTGTTCTCAAGGCCCTTGGCACTAACAAGAACAACTTCAAGCGTTCCCTGAGGCATGTTTGGAGCGGAGAGACTGAGAAAGAATAATAATTGAAGACAGATACAGGCAAGAGATACCGGGGAATTAAAAGGTCTGCCCTGTTTCTTGGATCTCTTTCCCGAATACACTTTTTACGAGGAAAGTGAGGTTAAAAAAAAACACATGCGGTGACCAGAAGCACCTACTGCCAGGAGAGTATTTATTTAGGACAAAAGTTGCATTAAGTTTTTATGGAAAGTTTGTCAATTTTTTTTAAATGATTTAAATAAAAATTTAAATGAAAAATTTTAATGAATAAATTGATAAAATTTAATGAAAAAATTATTTATAATTTAAATTTGATCTATACTTATTCAATAATTAAAATTTTATAAATATTTTTGTTAAAATATTTATTTAAAATATATATAAAAATTTTTTAAAATTTTTTAAAATTTTACACACTTAATTTATATAACAAAATTTTTTAATTTATTAAATTTAATTTTTTATTTTAATTTTTATTTAATTTTTTAATAAAATTTTTTTCATCTATTTATACGTCTATTACAATTAAAAATATAAAATTTGAGATTTTCAAGTAAAAGTGAAGAAGCCAGTAAATTAGGAAGGCACGTTATCAAAATTTTGCTGTTGGTTTCCTCTCCCCATTGGCTTTAACGGGCAAAAAATTTTGGTAGCTTCATCCTCAAACATTTAATACCAGGAGATTTTATGTTTTGCTTCTGAAATTTTTAATCTACTATTAACATTCAACCCTTTATTTATTTAACTCTGAAAAGTAGACTATGCTTAACAACTATGTGCACTCTCCATTACCGTGTTACTGCGATGACAACTTGAGCAAATTTTTAGTATGGCTGTAAGTATTTTGGGACCGTGAATTCGAAAGAATTTATAGTTTAATACATTTTTGAGATAAAAAAATTTAAAAATAGATTAAAAAATAATAATAATAATAAAAGAATGCTACCCTTAACCATAATAAAACAAATCTTGGCCCATTAAACCCAATAATAATGAATATCGGGCTTAAAGTGCAAACTCACCCAAAAGTTTGAGAGGCGCCTATAAAATTGGGCTGGATTTCAGTTGAGCCACGGGCTTCTCAGTCTTGACGAGGGCATTCTTGGAAAGAATCACAGACGGTTTCTGTCTTTATGAACGTTGGAAGAAACCAAAACGTCGTCAGTTAGCCGTCGATGGATCATCTGTTAAACTTCAACGGAAACTTGTCTCTCTTTCGCTTCTCGAAGAAGACATGACAGCGATTTCAAGTTCGTTATAAGACAAGAAGCTTTTCAAAACACATTCCAGTTTCATCAATCTCCCTGAAATTGAAGAGACAGAGAAATCTTTATATTTACAGCTGCATGAACCCAACAAATGTTCTTATCTACGTAAGAAAAATTGTAGCTTTTTTTTTTTTAATATTTGGTTCTTTTGGTGGTTGAAGATATCAGAGGCAAAGTTTCAGGTTAAGTTTTCAGTTCTCGAAAACCCTAGAAGTTTCTTTCTGTTTGAGGTTTCTCTGTTTAACTCTGCTTTAAGGTAATGTTGGGTTCCTTTAGTTTGATTATGATTTTTGTTATGTAGACTTCTTTCTTCTCTGTTTGGTTGCTTAGGAAACCGTAGGAAAACGTGGGAAATTTTTGTGACTGAGGAAGGGAATCACAAAACTGAAATGTGGGTTTTCGAAAATTTTTTTGATGTATGAAAATGTTTTCTTATTCTTTATTCATTTTAACCGTGCTTGTAGATGGCTCAATAACTCATTTTCTTTTACTCTGTTTTCTTGGGAAACAAACAGAAAGTTCACAATTTTTTTTTTGTAGGTTTTAAGGTAACGTGGATTGTGATACTCGAAGAATAAATTTGTGTTATAAGTATTATTTTGCCCTAAGTTAGCAGAAGAAATTAAACCTGCTTCACCTTCTTCATGTTTTGACAGTAGTTTTGATACTAGTACAAGATCAGCTTCTCTTCTAGTGTATGCTTTTATGACTATAGTTTCTCAATTTAAATTGGAAATGTCCCATTAGATTCAAATTGGTGGATTGATGGATTATTTGATGTTGAAATTTATCCATTGAATCATCATTATCTATTTAAAATTTAATTTTTTGATCAATTCCAAAACTCCACTGTAAGTTTTGGCTAAAATTTTTTCTCAAGAAAATAGGGATGATTTACCATTGCTGATAAAATTTTTTTGTTAATTTCAGCACTGCAATATGCATACTGTTATTGAAGCTGTACATAGGGTTAAGGAATTGGAGGGTCCTGAACTCTCTCAGAAACTTGACTTCAATTTGGTAAGAAATTTTCTTCATCTCTTGCTCCAAAACTTTTGGGTTTTTCTTGGTTTTAAGATCTATGATAAAGGTTTTTTATATCACTTTGAGCAAGATCAAGCTTTTGCTATTGTTTGGTTGCAGGGTGATCTTAGAAATAGGAAGGACCCGGAGGAGTTTTTCTCTAAGACAAATTATGTTAACTGGACATAGTTTTGATTGTTTGCGGTTTGCTATGAGTCATAATCATCCACATTTTAATTAAATTTATGTCATTGTACTACTACTTCTTGAATAATGAAGAATTTTCTACAGGATTAGAAGTCATTGTTTGTCGGGTGCAGTCAACAATGTAATCCATCTTACTTGCCTTCTGGATATATTCTATATATGTTTCATTCATATATTTTTACAGACATAAATATTTTTTTTTTCTAAATGAGATTGCTCATTTGTTGACAGATCCGAGACTACATCCATGTTATGGAGTATGGACTTGGCTGATGGTCATTTTGCTTATCTTAGGAAGCTGTTTACCACTGATAATACAGGTGATCAATTTATGTTATTCAAGTTTTTACATCTCAATGGACTTGCATTCATGTATATGTAACATATATGAAGGTTGCCGGTAGTTTCTTTAGGGAAATTTATGGGTGCTTTAATCTCATTTATTCTTCTAGGTTGTTGTATTGCTTACAACTTGGGAACAGGCTGTGATACATCTGAGCTTGGTTGTTGCTTTGATAATTTGAAACACGATACGATGACACAACATAAAAATAATATAAATAAAAAATATAAAAATAATACGATTTAAATTTTAAAAAATTATAAATACATTTAATTTTTGTCGATATAAATTGTAATATATAATTTTGTGAATACAATATATTACATAATACAATGACATAAATATTACAGAGTGACATAAATGATCAAATCTACTTTTGAAAAAACTTATGAAAAAGTGAATGTTCTTTCTCCCTTCCCCCTATTCCTTTTTTTCTCGAGCGTGCGTATGCACACACGCGACATGATCGGATAGCAGGTTCACCATCAGCAATTAAATTGCTGCTGGTGAAAATATTGCAGAAAATCCCCATTAAACTATGCCCAAGAACCTGCTCTCCAAACGCGTCGTCTAAGCAAAAACTAACTTACCAAAGTTTTTAGTAACCTATTATTATTGACTTTAAAGAATGTTGTTTTTTGTCACTTGCTCATTTTTCATATCCTCCACGTGGCTATACCAAAGACCCTTATATCGGGTAAGCCAATCATGTCCCAACCGTCCATTGTTCCAGTCAGAGGCCCTTATCCTAGGCAAAGCAGAGGACATTCCTCCCGACACGTATAAAGACAACCACGGTCCGGCTGTAATACACCTATAAACATTCGAAAATTTTACTTCTTACTCTAATCTTCTTCTGTCAGATAATTATCGAAATGAAAGAAGGGGAGCCAAGTTTCCGGAAGAGACCGTTCTAGCACCTTCCTTTTGTTCCCCAGCGTGCGCGTGGATCCCACGTACTTTGCCTTTTCTTCTTTCTTCCCCTTATCATTTTATCCACCCAGAACCTTCTAGAAATAACAAAACCTAATCTCCTCTCCCTCTCCTCTCTCAAATTGCCGTCTCTAACTCCGTTCACGGTGTTGAAACTTTTCATTCAACGGTGTCCGATCGTATGAGTGAGGTTTCTTGGTTCTTGTTTGGCTGCTGGGAAAATTTTCTTTCTTTTAGGTACGAATATTTTTTTAATACATCCTATATCTTAGTATCCCTGTTAGATTTGCACGATTTCAATTTTTAATTTATTCTCTGTGATTGATGAATGAAACGAATTAATGTCATAATATTTGCTCATGAACAAGAAACTTTTAGTACTATTTTGAAACTGTTTCCGTTTCTCTGAATCTGAATATGTTATACAAATAAGATTTTTCAGTTTAATTTGGCCGACTAAATTAGATATTTTCAGCTATAAACATCGAAGATATTATTTATTTGTTTTATATATATTTTTTCTAGCACTTTCTGGGCTACCAAACGGAGCATGATTTTTTTTCTTTTTTAATCACCAGCTATAGATTAAAAGGCACGCCAAAGAAATCTCTCTATCTGGAGAGTTCCGGTTTTGTAGGGTTCGGATCTAGGACCGAACCGCATGGCTCCGTCGCCGGCCGAACAACCCTGCGAACCCCCAGCCGGTGCTGCCGCTGAGTCGCTACGATGTTTACCGACTCCGTTCCTTACCAAAACTTATCAACTAGTTGATGATCCCTCCGTTGATGACTTGATTTCATGGAACGAAGACGGATCAACTTTCATCGTTTGGCGGCCCGCTGAATTCGCCCGTGATTTGCTCCCTCAATACTTCAAACATAACAACTTCTCTAGCTTTGTCCGCCAACTCAACACATATGTAAGTATTAAAATTAAAGATCCATAGCACTAATAATCAGTTTAATTAAGCTTTTAAGTATAATTAGTTTATTAAAGAATTAATTAATTTATTTTTTCTTATGGCTTTAGGGATTTAGAAAGGTAGTGCCGGATCGATGGGAGTTCGCTAACGATTGTTTTCAAAGAGGCGAAAAAGGACTTCTTCGAGATATTCAGCGGCGGAAAATAACTCCTATTGCAGCTGCTTCTGCGACGGTGACCGTTGCGGCGATCCCATGTAAGGTATCCCCGTCGAATTCCGGCGATGAGCAGGTTATTTCGTCAAACTCGCTTCCCGTCGCCACCGTTGTGCATCGGACCACGAGCTGCACGACAACGCCGGAGCTTTTAGAGGAGAACGAGAGGCTTAGAAAAGAGAACATGCAGCTGAACCATGAGTTGACTCAGTTGAAGGGATTGTGTAACAATATATTAACTTTGATGACGAACTATGCTTCCGGTCAGTTGGAGAATCATTCAAATTTGGCGGAAGGGAAAGCGTTGGATCTTTTGCCGGAGAGGAATTTGGAAAGAACAGCCGAGGATGGTGGTTCGAAAGGGGCGACGGAGAAATTGGAGATAGAAGAAGCGGCGGCTGCGGCGGAGGATGTAACCCCAAAGTTGTTCGGTGTTTCCATAGGGGTGAAGCGCGTGAGGAGAGAGGATCAGGATGAGGAGCAGAATAATAATCAAGTACAGCCTCAGGAGATTGAGACTGGGTCTGACGTTAAAGAAGAACCGTTAGATGGGAAGACTGATGATCAGGACTCTTCGTGGTTGGAGCTTGGGAAATGATTAAATGATGTTACAATTATTTGATTTTTAATCGGAGGATGGTAGAGGAACGTGGTCCCACGGCAACGTTCTTGGAGGAATCGCGTGTTGGGAACTGACACGTGGTGTCAGGTAGCTTTTATTCTGGTTGCTTCTGGAATGTGAAACTCCTTCGCATCGAAAACAAACGACGCCGCGTCGAAACTATTTTCTGCCAACGAAAACGAAGGGCAGAATTGGGACTATCCCAGTAGACAGAAAAAAATTTTAAGATGGAAACCATTGTACAATATTCGATGAACAAATCTAAATAAAATTTCTCATTCTCTTCCTTAAATGGAGATAATATAATAATTTGATTAATCCTTTTCTGAATGAAACGTTTTGTTTATATTGCTTTTGAGTTATAGTATTTGAACAAATGAGTTAATGGAATTCACCATCCAATTCTACGATTTGTATTGTTAATTGGCTTTTTGCATGTTGGCCACATTTTGCAATATTTTCTCTTCTCAAATCAAATATTGGATTTAATGGTGAAATTCAAAACAAGATGCATCATTTTATTTCTTTTCCAGCCCCCCCTTACATAAATTGAGAGGTTCTGTCATGATATCCAAGGTGCTGGGATTCGGCTAAATTTGGTTAGGGTTGGCATGTTAAATAAACATTAAACTTCGACGATTGATGTAACTTGATGATAATTTTTCTATTTCTCCCAAAGTGCTGATCCATGGTTAAATGAGATGGCATGGGGTTCATATTACCTTTTCTTTTTAGCAGATTCTATTGGCCCGAAAAAACTTTTGAGTCATCCAGTTCTGTGTTGAGAGCAGGCTTAAATCTGGTGGGATCTAAAAGCGGACCGAAGTCAAGAAAAAGGTGGAAGAGGGGACAATAACATAACCTCAAAATGAAATTTTCTAATTCGATAATTACTGAGACAACTTGGATGGTATCAATTATCAGGCCAGGCCTCGCCTCCGTCGGGGTATCTTCAATTTGTCTTGGTTTGATTTACATGAATTTGTCCTGACAGCATTACATTCACAGACAATCGTATACATGCATGATGATGCCTAACTACTGTTATAACTATTAAGAATTTTACTCGTACAGAACAACAAAAAGAAAAAGGATTTGGCGGCTAACTCATTACCAAGCACAAAGAAACGGCTAAAAAATGCTCTATTGAGATGAAAGACTAATGAAGCCTTTATGCAACATGATTTTGCAGCTACATCACCTTGCCACATTTCTGATTTCATTTGTTGCTTCTTGAAGTTTCTTCTTCATTGATTTTAAACTAGTTTGGCCCTTCTTGGTCCAGCGAATTGAGGTGCTTCGCTTAAGAACATCTGATATAAGAGGTGATCTTGAGGTTGAATCCCCTGAGGGAGCATCGTCGTAATCTAGTCAAGAATTGAACAGTCAAAATTCAGTACCTGATACTTCTATTCAACCAAGAATTAATCAGCAATTGAGCATGCAATCAGTTTATTGTGGCTTCTGACTCTCAGGATCTAAAGCATTTCAAGATACCCTTAGGAATGACAATTGCCATGCACTGCTTAAAAACTGAGCATCAACCAAGCAGATACATAGACCTCATTTCTAGACCAAGTCAAGAAAAGATAGAAAATTCCTCCCCTCAGATATAACTAAACCTATGATGTTTAATTTGAAAAAGGAAACACCGTCCAAACCTAACTCAAAATTTTCCTTTTCTTTTTGGCCACGTTTTATCTGAATTCATACCAATCACCTTTATGGAAAAAGCAAATGAATATAGCACAAAGAATGATTCAAAAACTATACTATGGAGGAACTGCTGCATCCTGAGGAAATAAAACAAATGAAAAATAGCCTGATAACTGATAAAACATTAATTACATGATAGACCTCGCTCTGTTTCTTGTATAGCTTTTTTCTTTTAGTTCATTTATATTTCTGGGATAAATTGTTTATATATATATGTGAGAATTGGATCAAATAATCATTTAGCATGTAAAAGACTAGCATTGATAGACGTTTTGCAGCCAAGTTGCATAGAAAATATTACCTGAAGACATGGGTAGCTGATAATGCACTTTTAAGAACTTTGATGCCTCCCTATCTTTCTTGTGGCACAAGACTCGTACTAAGGTGTGAGCATCTTGCAAGTTCATGTGGCCATGTTTATTTGAATCTAATCCCATTGAAATAAGCTCACTTGCGGTCATCAGCATTTGAATAACAGTTTCGGTCTGCCAAAAAGCAATGATTAAACTGCTCTGCTAATAATTAACATATAGATAAGAAACAATCAAAAGTATGAGGTAGACAACCTGAAGAGAAAACATGTGAAGAATGTGTTCAGCAAATTTTGCTTCCTGCTCAACTAATGACCGTGGAAGGCCCTCTCCATCAGCAATGAAGAATTCCTAGAGCAAAACAAACACAGATCTATTAGCCAGCAAATCATATCATAAAGATGATAACATCCTGAATACATGCAGCAAGTTTGGTGGCATCTTCATAGAAAGTGAGTTGGTCACTGAATATGGATGTTACTGACCATCACACTGTATATGCAGGTGGTCATGCAAGTCTTTCAGACCACTGGCTTTCAAAGAGCACATGGTCACCAACTTCCATTGAAAGGTCGAGTACAAAAACAACCAGTACCTATCTTTATGCAGAACCTGTTAGTTGACATAACTAGATAAGAGCATCTTTGCTCAATATTGCTGCCTGGAAAATAATTCCAGTTTGGTAAAGCTAGTAAAATCATGACAAGTGCCTCTTGTTTTCCCATACCATAGAATATGAGGAGACCAGATGAATAATGTGTAGGTACATAACATTAAAGAGAGACAAACCTTTAGCATCATAAGGTCTTCTTCCATAAGGATGATATCTGAATCAGAGAAGGCACGGCAAGGGCCTCCATCAAGCAATACCCAAACGAAACCTTCCTAAAACATGAAAGTAAACAAAATATAGGCTGTCAAACAAGTGCCTTAACAGATCAGAAAAGGAGGACAAGAAACAAGAGCATACCAATGAAGCTTGATAAACACTTAAAACCACAAGATCCCTGACACCATCATCAATCAAACCACATACATTGTCCAGCACCTGCATTCAAGCTTGCCAATATTAAAACAATATATCTTAAAAGGGATAATGAAAAAAATTGGAAGTGCCATAAAAATGTAAAATTTAAACACCCATACCAATATGCATAGGTGACCCATGCACACGGTAAGAGAGAGGAAGGGGGGAAGCCAACTATTTTAGTGTCTCACCGTATCAAAATCGGGAAGGAAATTTTCCAAGCGAGCACTTTCAACATTGCCACGATATAAATATAACAGGAATGCATCTCTAAGATCCCAAAACACAACTCTTGTTCCTAGAAGTTATTTAAATAGAAAAAAGTTGAGATTAATAATAATAGTAGTACTATTATAATTAATTCTTAGTAGCTAAGATACCAAAGCGAAGATATGAAACAGGTGAATAAGAGACATATTTGATGCATATAGCTGATAAGGTTCTTTTTATGAAAGATTAGATTTAATATGCTAAAAAAATGTATTTACCTACAGCACCAAGGTAATGATTAAGCAAAGATGTATTTATCAAAGAAAACGAAGAAAATCAAAATCATAATATTTATAATATTTGAAAATCATTATATAGACTCAGTTATCAGATCTTCTGTAGTTGAAGGTTCTAGCAAAATCAATAGACTTCAAAACTAGACTTTGATCTATGCAAAACTAAGAATTAAGTTTAAGATGAAGATGATTTAAGGAAATAGAATTCATAAAAGATAATTTGATTAGAAAATAAAAGAAAACTTAAAACTCTTATTTGCAGTCTTAAATGAAAATTCTACAGGCTCACCAATCAAGTCACAAATTTTTCTGCCAATATCTTTAGAAGTATCCCTTATGATGTTAAAGGTGGTAACAAAGAGTTCATCTACCGCTTCATTATGTGTTAGTGAATCACTCTCCAAAATCTCTCCAGGCTCTACTTCTGCTGGATGAAACAAAGAAGATTATCAAGATTAGAATAACCACCACCACCACTACTTCATTATCACTGGTTATAACCAGCAAAATGTCGAAGGAGGAGGAAGGATCTAAATATAAAATAAGAAACAAAAGATCCTTAAAAGTTCATCATATCATCATTGCAAAACCATTTGCATAGCATATCCTTCCAAATTCCAGATCTCAGTTGCCAAGTTTCTTTTCCCTTAAAAAAGAAAGTTCATGTTGTATCTGATGACTGCTGTAAACAGCCAGAACTAGGACTGTTAACTCTTTAAACAATATCCATATTAGGGTGCATCTCAAAGATCTTTTCACATATCTTCATCCAACTTTACCTAGTGGAGACGTCTTGTTCTTTTTACTATTACCTTTTACTGCTTGTGTTTGCTACTAGATGAAATTAAAGAAATAATAAACCAGACAGGAAATTCATCACTTCCATGCTATCATTGCATCACTGCCCGTGATTCCTGTTAATAACCATATATATATAGAACTTACCCTGTCTTTGATTAAGAGATGGCTTCACAAGTGCCCAAGAGTTTCGAATGCCATCTTCAAGTAGGCCAACCTGTTTCTGGATATACTGCACAGACACAAGAAAGATGACACAGGCATAAGTTTAGGCAATGTACCGAGAAGTTTAAATTGTGATACCAAAGCCATAGATATATGACTAAAAAACAGAAACTTATTATTACAAACAAAAGATAGTAATAGAGGTAAAGATTCAGAAGAGAGTAAAAACAAATTTTCTCAAGTAAAAGCACAGTTAAAGGCCCATTTTTGAAATCTCATAACTGTCAATCTAGTTCTAAATTAGCCTTAAATATCGCATACTCTAAATTTGAAGCAATTCTAAACCAAAACTTTTAAATTGTGTAATAAATCTGGCAGAAAAAAAATTTATCCAACTGGCATATTTTGGATGTTTACAAGCAACTGTGAATGTTTTAGACAAGAAAAATAGGCAGAAATTTATAGGTATATGAAAATGTTAGAATGTTACCGTCACCGCATCAACACCTACCAGGCATCAGAATAAATACAACTGAAAACAAGTAAAAACAAATACAAGATGCTTTGAGGACAGGAAAGTAAGTTTGGAACGTTATGCTTGAGTCAAATTGATCTGTAGCCTTGAAAACCAGGTAACCTGATAACTTGATGTTGAAATGGCTGGTTCTAGGTTGCATTCAGCTTGAAATTTCTTGACTTGAAGTCAAAGCAGGTTTAGCTCACTTTTTGGTGGAAGGAAGATTTATCTCGATTTGTTAAATTCTATATGTTCTTAAAAACCTGAAACATGTAGGTTTCTTAATCCCAAAGGATGGTTTCTTCAACATGGTGGTGATACCCTAATTTTCTTTATTTGTATTAAAATGCATTATAAGATACTAATTATTAATGCTTTTAGCAATGGTCATGCTTACCTGAAGGGTGTTCAGCCGGATACAGAGTTTAGGTATTGTCAATTCGTTCAATCTATCAAGCACATTGTCGTCTAAAACTCTGAACTCATTCAACCTTTTTTTAATTATTGGAATAACTGTCTCAGTATAACGAGTCAAAGGAGGGGCTGATGGATACAGATGATTCTTCTCAACTGCAATATTAAAGGTATTTTCATCAATACGGTAAACATTAATTAGGTAAACATGAGTATACTGACTAGAATGAACTTCCAGAATGCAAAAAATGGAAAACATTCATACTCTTCATCAATTGCTTAAACATTAATCTTGCGAAGACATACAGAAGATCCATGATGTTAGAAACAAAAGAAAATAAATGAAGAGCAATCCCGCTACATAGTTACCACTAGCCATTTAATTGGAAGAAAAGAATTAGCCACACCTGTGAAGAAGTATCAAGAATTTCAAAGAGAATGTAACTATCCCTTTAGGCATAGAGAGGTCCCGCTTTTAGCTAATAACAGTAAGGATTACAATACCTGACTTCCTGAGGTAATTACATAGATAACGCCCAACTTTTCCAAGCACATGCGATGAGCAAAAGTAAGAAGCAGAACATAAACAATACCTAATTGGTTGAGCACTCTCTGCAAATACCCATCCAAGCTATGGAAAACTATGGATAGAAGGGCTTGTAAATGTGTGATATCCAGAGGGAGATTCATCCCAAAAAGTTGATCCACAGTCTGCCAGTTAACATAGTTATGAGAGATAAGCAAAAAAGAGACCATAAACCAAAAATATAACTAAGCAAATATGATTCAATTATTACAATGTAAATGTCAAATAATAGAATGCATACACATAAAAAAAGAACAAAACACTTATGAAAGTTAATAAGAGTGAAGATTCCCAGGGCAAGGTATCTATGCCAACAAAGACTAATTTATGGAGATGGAAATTCCCATATATATAAATCACATAAGAAAGTTGCCAAATTTCTAGCCAGAAATTGCATACCTCCTCTAGTATCCTAAAAACTTCAACTATTGATGCTGCCTGCCTTTGATGAAATGACAAGGGCTCCCAATCCTGCATATGCCAAAAAAACAGAAGAAATTCAACTGTTGATCCAGACTTCCAGCTACTTTAATTCGAATCAACTCATGATAGCTGTATTAATAGGGCTAAGACAGGATACTTATATTTCATCCATTCAAACATGTTTTCATAGAACATCATCAAATCCATTCACAGATAAAAAGAATCTTTTCCTTCATCTTCCTAGCTCTGCTCAAAAGGTAGATCAGTTTTATCATCTTGATCAATCACTCACTGACGAAAGAGGCTCATGAGAAAAGAACCAAACGAAATGCGATCACATCACAATTTAGGGTTTAGGGTCTAAAGAGAAAGAAAGGAAGATCAATGAAATGGAGAAAGAAAATAAAAGTTCTTGTTTGTATGTGAAAGAATCCTTTGCTGACAAAGAAACAAGAAAGAAAAAACAATTTAAACAAAACCAAAGACCAACAAAGAAGCGTTATAGACTAAGGAAAACACAAGTCCTTATGTTCATTTGTCACCATAAGTCTATCAAATATTTCATCCTCACATTTTTCTCTCTAAAATTCATAACCATGGCCAGGTGCAAGATTACACAGTATCAGTATGAACTGATATCATCCTATTCAGTATGGAACAAACCTCAAGATCCAATGCTCTTCTGGTCCATTCCAATATGTGAGTGTGCTGACCAATCACCCAATCAAGAATTATTGGCCCTGAAACTTTTTCAATCTGCAGACAAGGAAACCAAAAACTAATTCTCCAGATAGGTATCAAGTCATTAGCTAAACCCTTATATGACAAGCACTTTTTCAGAAAAGTTTAGCTCCTACACATTTCCATGTGGAGCGTTTTCTAACCTGAACAAATCATTGCCCAAGCCATTACTTACATTGACCTAAATAATGTCAAATGCACAAAGGAAATTACGTTCAAGACCATTAAAGTACTGAATTAAAAATTTCTTTGATCACCAGAACAGCAAGTGAACCAATATCCAATAATGAAAACAAGCCCAGCTATTGCAAATAATGTGTGCCTCTCCCTATTTCAGTGCTTGTATCATTTTTAAAACAAGACCCATAAGAATTGCTTGTGACACAAAAGTCATTCTTAAATTAAGATACAGGGACACTTGGAAAAAAAAGAATGTAGAATGTTCAGATTATCAGAATCCTAAGTTTATGAAGTATTTAATCCCTTCGAGAAAAAACGATTGCTTCTCCATTGAAAACAAGTACAATAGCCAGTACCTACAAATCATGAACAAAAAACAAAGCCAGAAAAGCATAAAACAAAGTAATATTGCAGGAAGTAAATGACAAGAAGAAATGCAATAACATATACAAGTTAAGATAACAATGCACAGAAGCATAAGACAACAAAGATGATTCAAAACACTTTAAAGTTCATTGGCAATACAATATCAAAAAATGCAAACAGAAAACCTGATAATGGTTCAAATATGGCCTCAGAGAGTGGTCCACCGTCTGTTCTTCAAGAGCAGAAGTATAAAGCTGGCCAAGTTTGTGATCCAGCATATAAGCAGCAGCAAGCACTGATCTCGCATCTTCAGATAGAGATGAAACTCCCTTTAGGAATGGAATCTACACATTGACAAGAATAGTTCCCAATAAAGATACGGCATACTAGTAAATATGGACTCAACTACAAAGAGATTCTGATAATTTCAATAGAACAAACCAGTCTTTCCCCATAAAATTGGTGCAATTGCTTCACTGAGATCATTATGGATTCAGGAGACCATTGACAGAACACTGGGAAAAATATAGTTGACTCTCTCTCAGCAACAAGTCTTAGCTGGATTGCAAGCAGAGCCAAAGGATGCATCTTTTCTTTCGATTTAAGAATGGTATTTGCCACCTAACAACATAATCAGCTTCAATTGACTATCAATAAAGAAAAAAGATACTAAGTCGGATCATGAAAGAAACTCACCCTCCCAATTGCAGCTTCAACAGACTTCTCTACATAATTCTTAATTTTCCCACCAGAAGAATTATTAGATGCATTCATAGTTAACTGGATGGAGTGGAAAATTGTCATTAGATATACAAGGTTTGTCACCAAAATGGTATGAGACTGTCACTTGCGAATGTGTAGAAAGTGCAGACCAAACACCAATTCGTCCAACAGAAAAGATCTCATCCATAAGAAAAACATTGGGACGTGATATGAATCTGGTTAAAACAGCTCGCTTACAATGGAGAAGGGTGGACAATATAATGAAACAGGATGGAAGTGGGAGAAAACAAGTCAAGCCATGCCAATTTAAAACTTCAAAACCAATATGGCCTCAGTAATAGTAAAATAGTTTCAATATTTGTTTGACTTATTGCATGATAAACCAAGTGAAGTTGTAGTCAAATTTAACAATGTTTTCTAATAAAGCTCAAGCTGTGGGTAAGAAGCTCAAATTGAACTTAAGTTTAGCTCAAAACTTTGAATATTTACGTCGATCTAAGCTTCAACCTTTTACTAGTTCAAAATTTTAAAAACTTATGAGGCCATTACATAACATGGTTTGTTAAACAACCAAATATGCATATGATTAACAGCATGGCAGACCTAACCTTAATCTCAGCACGATCAGCAGAAGAGAGCATTCCTATTGCTGATGCCAAAACCATCACCTTTCTGAAGTTAACAGGTTTCTGGGGAAAAAAAAAGATTATAGTTAACGGGAAAAAACCTCTCAAATTATGAGCATGTATTTAAGAGATTGAAAGAACTCTCAAGCATGAACCTGGATTTCCAAGTTCACATAATCAGACAACAAAAAAAACATAAAATAAATGTAAAATTTTTGAACAAAACAGTGTTGGCAAATAGAACCATGACAAATAGAACCAAGAAAAAATCACATGCAGTTTATTAGCCAAGTCATGTGGCAAAAAAATACAGAATGACTCTACAAAGCTAAAAATGACTAGCAACTAACCTCACTAAAATGTAGATGATAGTCTTGTAGTTTACTGTCACACCAAGCGCCTATGGACAGAAAAATGGCCTGCACCAGATTTAGCTTTGTTTGACTGCCATTGCTTTGCTTTAAACATATTATACTTTTCATATATTGCTCTTCATTCCAGTCATCTTCTTCAGTAGATACGACTCTCTGCAACTGAAGAACAGCATGCTCCAACAGAGTGCCTTCATCTGTGCCAACAAACTTCAATGGCGAAAGTAGCATTAGACCAATGGTTAAAAGCTCATACAAAAACAATATTTTCAATATGATTTCAACATATAAATGAGCTCATTGCTAAAGCCAAGATGAAATGTATATGCTTTATATGGTCTAAACACAACCAAATTTGTGAATAAAGGATGTTTCAAACTTCATCTTTTGCACAAGAAAAGAAAAAGACAAATTATTTCTTTCACAATATCATGACTATAGAATAAAGTTATGCAACAACAAACAGAAACATTACAATGACATAAGACATACCTGTTGAATAAGGACCCACCCGTATAGAGCATTATGCAATTTCTGAGTGATGCCTAAAGTGGACCAAGTCAGTTTGATAAGCGACAGGATTGCATCTGCTTCCTAACAAAATTTTAAAATTAAGAAACTAAGTATCATAAAAGCAAGAATACTAGAAGGTATCACCAAACCTGTCCAAACGAAAAATCAAGCCAACAATACAACTAAGGATCTACATAGATACCTCTATGAGTTGGCCTTCGTCAAGAATGTCAAAGAGGCCATAAAGTAATTTCTCATAAAGTCTAATGTTCAAATGATAAGCAGCAAGCCAGTAATAGGTTTCAATTTGGAGACCAAACTGCCCCTGCTGAGAGGACACTTTTGATGCCACCGTTCTAATAGATGATATAACCTCAACTCGTTGAGCAGGAGACATTGCAACATCCCATTCCTATAGCATCCAATGAACCAAGAATGTGTTTATTTAGAAAATAATAATTGAGGCAATCTCACTGACACATCAATGTAATTGTCTATGAATATTTAAAACCCACAAAGAGAGCATACCTTTGTATCTCTAATCTTTGCAAGGCAACTTTTAATGGTTAAACGTTCAGTTTCTGGAAGTTTAGCTGGGAAGTAAAGAAGTTCCTCTAACATATTCACCTAAAGCAATAACAAAACAGCAGGGTGAGTTCTGTGCTTGGGAAACTCTTCTATTTTTCACTCTTTCTAAATTTAATATCTAGTCAATATTTAAGCTCCAAATAAATGACCATGAAAATACCTTTTCAGATTTTGCAACACAGTTTTGGGTAGATAACTCTAATATACCATGTAATAGCCCTAATGCTTCAATAGAAAAGTTCTTTAGGCTTTTATTAGAATATATTTTGATATTACTAATGTTGGTCAATAAGCCATGATTTCGGTGAAGTAAATCAAGCAGCACTTCCATATGCCGGCACTGCTACTGGTTCCTTAATATGTTTATCTTTGCAAACACATTATTTAAGTAGCATTCACTAAAGTTTTCAGCTCCAAGTACAAGCATATTTAGTTCAATATATTCTATAGGGAGAAGACAGGTGATATAACAATACATAAAGTTGATAATTACCTGTCTACTCTTCCATTGCAGATAAGACTTTTCACTAAGAAAATCAGATCTGAAAATGCCAATAAGGAGCTCTAACGAGATTTGAGGAAGATCAATTTGTCCATGTGTTCTTTTTGCAGCCAGCTGTACCATATTTCGCTGAATGCATGAATGCATTGCTTCTGAAATCTAGTAAAGGACAGAATTTAATCCTAAGATTTAACCAAGCAATGCAAAAAAATAAAATGATAGGAAAAGAGTGCTTATGTGGTTAACTGACTGCAAGTTGAGACAAAATAGCATGGTTGATAGACAAATAGAAGATACCAATAATTGTTGAATAAAATATCTGAATAAACAATAAGATAACTAAAGTTTGAGTTAAAAATTTAACAAATTTATACCATCATAAACTCTATAATTACTAGTAGTGTGATTATAATGGTTATAAACCGACAAGTATCAAGTCTTAACACCCACAGTCAACATTACATATATGGGATATAGAAAGTTTCAGCAAGACATGGTTCGGAATATGGATGGTAACTAATGTAGAAAGCTTTGTTGTATTTTCTCAAACTCCCATCCTAAATCTATAAGATGCAATAAAAGCTATAACAGAAAAAAGAAAAGATTTATAGCTTGCCTGCATCTGTGCACGGATAGTATCAATGAGTAATGAATGTCTTTCTGACAGCTGAGGTTGCAAATGTAGTTTTTCCCTTTTACTCTTTAATCTAGACAAAAATTTAGAACTCTTTTCTTTCTTCTTATCCTCAACAGGAAACACTTCAACCCTGATAACAACAAAACAAGAGATAGAGCCGGTAAGCAGGAATCAAATCAAGAGGCAAAGATATTATAGGATATATCAGTGGATTTCATTGAAATTATTTTACAATCCCTCACACACACACACACACACACAGGTAGAGAAAGAAAAAAAAGTACCCAGAAAAAAGCATAGACGTAAGCAATAACTCGTATGCTGATTCCCGCAAGTCATCATCAGATAATCCTTCAAAAATCCTGAAGCTATGTATCAGTTTATTCAAACAAGATAAGCCAGGGCTCAAGATACAAATATAAGCATCCTTATGATATTGTGTGCATAAGCAAATACGTGATCAAAAATATAAGCAAATACGTGATCAAAAGTATAAGCAAATATGTGATCGAAAATAAAAATTAGACAATCTTTTCACAAAATTTTTAGGAGTTTCTAGTTAAATTCTTAAGCACAAAAAGGAATATATGTTTATCCGATCAATACCTGTTTTCAACATAGGTAATCCAAGAGAAGGAATTCCAGAATTTCCTAAAGTAGCCCTAGCTACCACTGTTTCTGCTTTGTGTTTCAAACCGTAGTCATCCCCAGACATTTCAAAGTTCTTAACCTCGATAGAATCCTTTTGACTAGCTGAAGATGAAGCATGGTTAGTAGCATTGCTGAGAGTAGTTGAAGGAGGCACACGACGAGGAGGAGATCCAGCGAAATCTGGATCAGAAGTAAGAAAATACGAATCCCCTAATTTAGAATGAATCTGCAATTTAAGAACCAAAAAGTTAAAAAAAAAAAAAGAAAAGCATTAAACTAACCATAGTTCAAGTCATTCAGATTAATATTCTAGAAACATAAATGCACAAATATTTTAAATAAATTGTAGCTTATCTTTTGTTCACTGCATGACAAACCAGCATCAAAGATCAAACTCAGTATTCTCCGCACTCTAATGGCCCAAGTTGCACATTGAAACATAGCACTTAAAAACTGTAAGTCTAGTTTGTTTCTCCATCTTTTTCGATAATTAAAGAAAACTATAGAGAAGGTTAACTGAAAAAAATCCTCATTCCTAATAACAGTTTTAGTTGCCGAAAACCTAATCTCAAATTATTCTGCAACTACTTGAAAATATTATAATAACAACATATTCCTTCAAACATGAAGCAAAAGTAAAAATACTTTAAACATACTAGTACTAATAAACTTTTGATTGAGATAAAGTGGTTTATTACCAGTATCGGATAAGTAGATTCCGCATAGTACTTCTTAGTGGCTTCAGAAACATCAACAATTCCACCTGTAAATATTTCAGTATCCAAACACTCCTTTAGTAGCAGAGAAAAATAAGCACAAGAAAAGAAACAAATAATCACAGATTTTTTTTTCTCTTTTCATTTTATTGGAAATAAAAGACAAACCGGATTTAACGCAGTGGAGGATGTAATCGGCGCTGAGTTTGTCGAAGTCGGCATCGGAGAGAGGAGAGGAGCCTGACGGCGTCCGAATTTCCTTTATCAAACCGGAAGATAACAAGAACTCTAAGAGCTTCCGGCGATCGCGACGGTAACGTTGCAGCAGAGAGACATGCTCCATCTTACCCGTCCGGTTATACCCATAAAGTTACACCGAATTATAAATAAAAGTCCATGTTTATAACTTATTTTGAATTTTCAGATGATAAAAAGAAAGCAAAGGGATCGGTAGTGTTTGAAGTTTGGACCAAGTTTCTTTTTTTTTTCTTTTCTTCTTTTCATCACATTACACAAGAAAATGTTGGGTAGCGCCAAAAGCTGACTCCAAAAAGACAATTTGGACGGCGGAGATTTTTTCTTTTCCAGCTTTTTTTTTGTTCTAAATTTTGCTTATTTTATTTACACTTTCGCCAGGTATATTTTGGTTATTTATTTTTAAACCCACCTACTTTTTATATCCGTTTGAAAATTCTCCAACCTAATTTTATTTTGCTACTAAAAAAGGAAAGAAAAAAAATAAAAATTTACTTATAAACGTATCATATATCCACTGTATTTTTGGCTCTTTTCTGCATCTTTGCTTTCAGCGTGCCGCAACTTCAATTCTGCATGCATAAAAATTGCAAAAACGAGAGACATATCTGAAACCATATCCCTTCATTGCTGTTTCAATGTGGGATTACATGCAAATGCAGTCCCCATATGTACAAAACTCTGATTCTTAGCTTTTGTCACAGATAATGACAGAACAAGCATGGAGATCAGGATGTGGGTACAATTGCCAGGAACGCCAACGTATCAATTCTTAAAAGGACAGAATCCTGCTTGGTAAGTCTGTTTAGGCATCAATAAAACTACAGCATAATTGGATAGCATTCAGGTAAAAGCATTTCTTAACATTATGCACTTGAAAATAACCCCTCTTGTACTTGTTCAAGAAGGTTTCACCTAAAACACTTTGTAAGCCTTAAACAAGAGTACACCCGACATGTTCCTATCGAATGATAAAAAGAAAGAGAATAGAAGCAAACAAATTGTTCGATTCAGTCAGTGCTTAAATGCCCCCGGGAAACATTAATATACATAACAACTCTACGAAGCCTAGAGCTAAAACAAGCACATCATGACTGTCACCAGCGCTATGATGACAACATCTACAACCATCACCACAAGACCAACAATAGAATAGTTTGGTCAAGTATAATAGACGTGCTGTGCACTGTAATGCTCTCGAGCTAAAATCATATGCTAGGTCTCAGATGTGACCACGAATAATTATTTCCATTCGTCTACACTTCTTCATGGCTACTACTCTTTAAAATGTTATACTTGCAGAGAGGACAGGTAGCATTGATATACAGCCACTTATCCACACAGGCACAGTGAAAATGGTGACCACAAGGAAGTTCCCTTAGCTCAACTCCGTCGTCATAAGCAGAAAGGCAGATGCAACATTCCTATAAATTAACCCAAGAATCAACATCAGTTGGGTACTTGACTTAAACTCCCTTCAATTCAACGACAAAAGGAATTACCAAAAAACAAGCCTGCAAAGAGGCAAATCATAGGAGGAAGGAGAAAGGAAATAAACAGCATAAACCAAAAATAAGGAGATAAACTTACTGCATCATCCCGGGAAAGCACATTCTCCATTGGGGAATCAGTACCACATTCAGTCATTATTCCCCCAACAGGACCTTGGTCATCAACAGCAGATTTCTCATTGCCATCAAATTTTCGAAATTTGAATTTTGACAACTGATCAATGTCTTCCCTTGAAGCTCCCTCCTGATGCAAGAGGTCATATGAAGCAAGTAAAAAGAGAAGTATACCAAACCAGAAAAGATATAAAAAAAAAAAATCCAAGTAAATATATCTTATTGCCAAGAGCCATACAACTGCAGAAATTGTAAATTTTTAAATTAAAAGTCTTAATAAAATCTTTCCAGCCAAATGCAGAAAGCAGATTCTTTTCTTTGAATGTGGTTAAAGCATGGTCATCAAGGAAAATTCAACATTCATAATGTATATCACATGAAAGTCTGCCATTATATTGTCTCAACTAGACTTGACAATCTGAAACATGACATGGAAACATGACATGGTGACATGACACAAAAAAGATACGAACAAAGGACACGAAGATAATATGGCTTAAAATTTTAGTAAAAACCATAAATAGGTTTAACAAAACTAAAAAAAATGTTTTTTATATTTTCAATACGAACTGTGACATGCAATTTCATGTAAAACACGATACGAATACAATATTTTACACAACACGGTGATATAAATTGCCGGGTCTAGTCTCAACTTTCAGAAAACAAACCTCTATCAACTTTCTTTTAGTCCACTATGATGACACAATTATCTAAGCTGGAATTAGATTCATGTAGAAATCTCAAAATTCATGCAAGAACACAAAGAGGCCTTCCCCATACTATGTAGTTGATTCTGAGTAAACCTCAAAATTTACTGCGCATATTTACTTCAATTAACCACCATCTCTTTACAAAATTAGATATTCAAGCACAAAAATCAAGCATCAAATGCATACGAACAAATTAATGTGGCACATACAAACATGATAATCTTACATGCAGGAGGATATGAAACTTACCTGATCTGCCACAGCATATAGGATTGCAATAATACATGGCAGACAGCAGCAAACAGCAATACCAATGATGCATGCCAGTGCAACACAGAAAACAACAAAGAACACATCAAAACCAAGAAAAATTATACAAAGCCTGCAGTGAAAATTGCATTAAAAGAGTTAGGATCCGGCTACAAGGAAACACCTTCAAACAGTGAAAAAGCAGCAGGAAAAACAGCACAAGAACTAACCAGTAAAGCTGAGGGGAACCACGAGCCAATGCTTGGCCACCTACAGATACCCAGTAGAATCCAATGATCCACCAGATGAAAGAAAACATTGTATTAGCAGATTCCAGATGCTTTGCAACGCTGCTGAAAACATCAATTTCAAATTATTAGCCACTAAATGAGAGTCTACAGCATCATATACAACTTAAGCTATAGCAGGTGAGGTTAAATATATACAACATACAATATAAAACAGACACATATTCAGAAGATTATGATAAAATTTTGAACTAATTTGAAAACTTGGTGCATTTGTACTAACACATTACAACTAATTTTCAACTAATCAACTAATTTGAAATGCCTAGGCAGATTCTCTTAACACATTACAACTTCAATGTAACTTGGTGCATTTGTACAACTTAACTGAGTAACACCGAACACATAAGTGAAAATTCTAAATCTCCATCAAATGCCTAACTGAAACCCAGACATCATAAGAAAACATGTTCCAAGCAGCAATTTCCCTGATGGGGTCAAAAACCTATTTATTCCAATTCACAAATGCTGAATGAAACAAACTTTCTCAACTCCTCAACGTATCCCCACTGCCTAAAAAACCATCACCTCGCTTATCACTACAGAAGCAATATCTTCCACATCAACCCACCTATTAACAAATAAGCAGTATCTCAAAAGTAATCCTAAACCATCATTAACTTCTCAAAATCATCGAATACCAATATAACACTTAATCAATATAAATGTATACCTTCCACCATCCTCTTCCAAGTGGGCCAATGACATGTACTGCTCTGAATCCACCCTCGATCCCGGGCTCAAAACCCGTTCCTCCTCTGCATTAAATGGTCTGTACTCCACGCTCTGTCGCATCCTCCGTCGCCTATACTCCACACAAACGCAAACCATATGCAACAAACACTGCAAAGCGTACCCAATTATCCACAGCCTCAGCGGCATTTTCGGCCACTCGTTCCTGCTCAAAACCAAAACCCCAAGTGCCACCGCCACGAACGCGAAATTCCAGACAATATCGAGGATCACCACCGGCTTGGAATACGCCCAATCGCTCTGGCGCTCCTCGAGCTGCTCGGCAGCGGTTTCTCGAACCAGCATGGACGGCTCACGCATCATTCTTCGGCTGCTAGCTCGGCGCAGGAACCGAGCCGCTTCACGAAGGCTCTGGCGACGCACGGATCGACGCGTGGTGGACTCATCCCGTGACACGCTGCTTGTTGATGATAGAAACGGCGTCGTGTCGATGATGTCATCGGAGGAGGATCGGTTCATTGGAGTCGTCGAAGCCATCTTTTGGAGTTCTCAAAAAAAAAAAAATCCTAGAATGTTTGTTAAAATAAATAAAATTAATTGGATTTCAAAGGGCTTTTAAATTTTTATGCCATGGGAAAAAAAAAGATTTAGGGATTTTTTTTCTGAGGGAATATGGATAGCTTGGTTCTGTGGAATGTTGGAGATGGCTAGACGACGATAATGGATTGATGATGCTGATGAAACGAAAACAAATGATGTTTTCTCTTTTACTATTTTTTTATCAGGTAATGTTTGGTCCAGTTATTGCAATTATCATTGTTCACGCACTCACCTTTTATAGTCGGTTCTGTAAAGTGCCTGCAATTATATATCGGACGTAAACAAATAAAACTTTCGATGAGTTGTTGTTTGATTTTTATTTGTTAATATTTTTTATTAAATTTAATAAATGATTTTGAATAATTTTTTATATTTATTTATTAAAAAAATAAATATAAATGGTATATATTTGATTGTTTATATTCATAAATAAATTTATTTAAAATTTATTCGTTTTTAATTCGTTTATTATTTATTTGTTGTTTGTTTATAATAATATTAATAAAATTATTTTTTTATTTTTTATTTTAATTTTATTTTAAAATTTATTTATATTTATTTATGTTCGTTAAGAATTTATTTGATTATTATTTGTTTATTATTTATAAATATGTTAATTTATTTATATTCATGAATATATTTATTTAATGTTTATAAATGATCTCATTTAATTTAATTGAACGAATATACATCAAATATAAATAATTTATTATTTAAATGAATAAACATAAATAAATATAGTAATTTTTTTAATAAACATAAACACTTCTAAAAATAAATAAATGAACCATAAATATACATTCATTTATTCATGTTTTATTCGTTTACAGTCTTAATATTATGTTTATGATTTTACAATGACGAATGTTTACTAGAAAGCAAAAGCTTAAAAAATATATGTTTACAATCTTAATGTTTATGATTTTGCAATAGCAAATATTTATTAGAAAGGCGTAAGCTTATAAATTTTTGAAATCTTCGATTGGCTGGGCGATGATTCATTAGATTGGTTTGGTAAAATTAAAAATAATACTTAATGTCATATGTTTTATTATAAATGAAATTAGTTATCACAATAGTGATATTAAAATTAATGATAAAATATATATTTATATGTAAATATAACAATAACAATAAAAAAATTATAAAAATAAGATAAAATGATTATTAAATACATTACGTAAAATTTTATATATAATAATATAATTATATTTTTATTTATAAAATTAATAAATAATTAAAATTTTTTATTATTAATTTATATTAAATAATATATTTATTAATAAATTGAAAAATATTAAAATTCTTTCTATATAAAAAAAGTTTGTTATTAAATATATTATTAATAAATATTATATTATTTTTGCATAAAATAAAAAAATAAAAATAATGAAAAGCAAAGCTAATAACTGCAAAAGACATTTTTATTCTTTCAGAAGGAGAAAAATATATATGAACAAAAAAAAAAGGGCATTACAAAAGAGCATCTCCGCCGGAGTCACATTTGAATCCAAGGGACCTTAATCTAATGGTTAATAAAGGTTATTTGAATCTCATCATCTCCATCTTTTATTTTATCCCTATCTAGTGAAAACAAAGTATTGACTAATCTGCTAGCCTTATATTTACAGTTGAACCATAATAATTAACAAAATTTTTGTTTAATTTCCATTCACAATACATGAGAATTATATGTACTTTCTTGTATTTTAAAAAATAATTTTTTTCATTCATTAAATTTAAATTTACATTTTAGAAAACAAAATTTTTTTTCTAAAAAATAAAAATAATTTTTTTTTTTCAAATCAAGATGAATTTCTGAAAGAAATAAAAAACAATTAAATAAAAGTATAAAACCTAAATATTAGTAATTTTTATCCTTCAAAAGTACTTGAATTATGGTAAGTAACACCAACAATCATGTGATGAAATTTGATGATTTATATATTAGTGTCATGTAAAATATTAAAATGTATATATTTTAATCGTATTTTATATAAAATTTATATATCATAATTTGTATCAATATAAAAATATGAAATACATTCTTATTTTATTAAACTAATATATAATAATTATTAAAAATTTAAATTATATTATTTTTGTATCATATCATCATATCGTATTTTAAATTATCAAATATAATGATTTATTGATTAAATATTGACTTTTAATTTCAATAATTAGAGTTAAGTAAATTTGAACAAAATATTAAGATACCATTCGGTTAATAAACTTATTATTTATTCTCCATACAAATAATAAAGTAAATAATAAAACATAAATAAATTAAATTAAATTAAAAATAATAATGTTAATTGGCCGATGTAAATAAACTGTAAAAACATCAATAATAAGCAACAACCCAATTTCTAACTTGTAAGATTGACTGTAACCATGAGATGCAAATAAATTATAAGTATGCGCATACATTCTTATTTTTATCGATTTTCACATATATATATATATATGTGTATGCATGAGTACATATATAAAATCTTATTACATACAAAATTTTAATTTAATTTATATTAAGAATTAAATGATATTTATGTATGTAGATGTACAAATGACTTTAAATTCAATTGATCCCAATGGACCCAACCGATGTCCCAACACTACTAATACATGTACAAAAGAATAATAATAATAATAACAACGTAAGGATAAATGAATAAGCTAACCGTTATTCAGGTGGTGGGTGGGGCTTCGGCCACTTTGTGTTGTTGGCTTTGACTACTACAATCATCTATTTATATGTCAAAACTAACATGAAAGTCAATAACTTAATAAAGCATGGCTCAATTACAACTATTGGCAATTGGGTTCTTGATACTCTAATTAATACAAAATTTAAGAACAATTAGAGTAATGTTACATAAGCATTTAAAAAGAATAGACAATATACATTAATCTCATATCGAATAAATAAATAAAAAATTGTTAGGCATATAAGTGTTAGCGTTATATATTTCAATAAATTAATTTTACGAGAGAAAAAATAATGATCATGTGATAAGTAATATTATAATCAACTTTTAACTCGTCTAATTTCACATCAAGTACCCTTACAAAAGTAGGTAGAGTAGGTCAATCTAACTAGTTAACAAAGTATTAAGGTAAGGCATTATGGCAAAATTTAAAACCATACTAAGCACTCTAAAAGGAAGCAAGCAAGGTGATAGTCATGATGAGGGTATCGCAAGACTTGATATAAGAAAATATTATACAAAGCATTCAACAAAAGTAGGCAAGGTGCATTAATTTTACATTGGATTGGGAAAGGAAATATCATTTAGCATATAAGCGTTGGTGCTGCACACAACCTAATAAATCGATTTTGCGAGAAAAAAGTAATGATCATATGACAAGACTTTTCATTATGGAACTATTTTTTATTTTTCAATTATGTTTTAAATGTGAGAGAAGTAAAATTTTTATATAAAATTTTAATAGATGATAATATATAAACAAATGTAAATGTATTTATTTTTAATATAAATTATAATTTAATCATATATAAATTTTTTTATATAATTAAGATATTAAATTATATCTTTATTAATATATATATATAAATATAAATTAAATAAATAATAAAATATGTTATTTTATATATTTGGAGAAGAGCCGGGGCAAAACACCCTAAACTTGATTTTGTTTTAAATTATTTAAAAAGATAAAATTTAATCAAATTTTTATTTAAAAAAACATATAAATTGAATCGTGGTAAATTGAAATTCATCATATATAAATTATTTTGTAATTTCTATATCCATTAATTCTTTATTTACAAAATTTATCTAATAAATAGAATTAAAAAATAAAATGAGGTGATTAATGAAAAATTTAAGGTAGTAAATGATATTTTTAACAAAATACATATAAAAATATAAAAATATAAAAATATATACACGTAATATTCAAAATCTTGCTGTTACTCGAGCTTGATTTAAAAAAAATTAACTAAATAATTCAAAATTAAAATAAAAGCACACTAATTAGATTATGATGAATGAAAATCCATTGAATATGGATTATTTTGTTATATTTATTTTAATTGATTTTTTTATTACAAAAGTTATATAATAAAAAATAAAAGTTAAAAGTTAAAAAAAACCTAAAAAAAAAAAAATAAAAGTTAAAAAAATAAAAGAAGAGAAATGCCAAGTGAATACTCGAAAGGAAATGAAACACATTAAATCTATACATGTTTGATTGGGATGAATTAAAATAAATAAAAAACTAATTATTTTATCATCTTTTATTTTTATTGATTTATTTTTTTCAAAATTTATTTAATAAAAATAAAATTAAAAAAACCAAATAAAAAATTTAAGAAACTACAAAAAAACACAAAAATAAAATATAAATATAATAAAAAATACAATAAATAAATAAATAAGAGAGGAATTATGAAACCCTCCTCCATTCTCCACGAAATTAAGAATGTATTATTTCTGTTATTTTCAACATTAGAAATGACGCGGCATCATGATTCCTCTTCTTTTTCGGGGTGTTTTCGATAATAATAAAAGATAAGGGACAATGCTTGCATTTTACAAATTTACAGACCCTTCCAAGGAAAAAAATTAAGAGCGGGGCTAGGGTTGTGGATTTCGTGCTGTTTCCCTCCAAATTGTAGGGGAGGTGTGTTTTGGGACTTCGGTGCAAAAGGGTTTTTCTTCGAAGTAACTGCCAGCACTTAGCAAAGCCTTCACTGAGTCAACAACAGAATGGCGTCCTCTTCATCATTCGCCGCCGGCGCTTATGACGTGCCGTGGGTTGAAAAATACCGGCCAAACAAAGTCTCGGAGATCGTCGGCAACGAAGACGCTGTGTCTCGACTCCAAGTCATAGCTCGCGATGGCAACATGCCCAACCTCATCTTATCCGTACGTTCATGCAATAACCATTTAAGTTTAGGCCCCTGATTACGATTCAATTGTTTAATAGCAATCTAAAATGCTTAATTATCAATGGAATTCGCCAATTTGGCTAATGCCATTAAAACCCCCAATTTGTAGCAGTGAAGACTGCTCGAATCACTGGTGGATTTTGATTAAGTGTGGAAAATGTGGTATATCACGATTCACAATTAGGTTAAAATTTTAGGAAAGGTAAGAATTTAATATTCAAGATGTATAATCATCTCAGTGTGAATAACCTAAAATTTGGTTGCAAGGACAATAAAATAAATAGGATATTCTTTTGCCTTCATTGTAGAAAAAAACAAAGAACCGGTGTTGCGAAAACATGTTTTCTTGTTTGTTTTTTATTAAAGGATTTAATGTGTTTAATGAGTTAATGAATGAAAGCAAGTAAAAAAAAAAAATCCAAGAAATTTTCATTGCTTGACATTTTCCAGGGTCCTCCTGGAACTGGTAAAACAACTAGTATTCTTGCTCTTGCACATGAGCTTTTGGGGCCAAACTATAAGGAGGCTGTTTTGGAGCTTAATGCATCGGATGATAGGTAAACTTTTGGGTTTCATGGCATTTTAATTCCTTTAACTTTTGAATTACGGGTGGAAAATTCCATTATCACTTTTCTTATTCTTGTATAGGGGTATAGATGTTGTCCGAAACAAAATTAAAATGTTTGCTCAAAAGAAAGTAACTTTACGTCCTGGGCGGCACAAGATAGTTATCCTGGATGAAGCTGACAGGTAAAAACTTGTGATAGTGTCCCATGAATCTTGATGTTGATCATGTGGCTTGTTTCTTCTTATGCTTTGCTTTTACATGCTAAAATTTGAATAATCACGCTACCTTGTGTATTTATGTTTTGTTATTTATGCTGGGGGCATCTACTGATTTTAAGTTTATAGATACTGTTATAACTTACAGTTGCACTATTTTTTTGCTTTTGTTTTGGATTGAGCATCTGATGGCTATATTCTTTATAATGGTTAGCATGACATCCGGTGCACAACAAGCCTTGAGGAGGACAATGGAAATATATTCAAACTCTACACGTTTTGCTCTTGCTTGCAATACTTCGTCAAAAATCATTGAGCCTATTCAGAGCAGATGTGCCCTCGTCCGATTTTCAAGGTTATCTGATCAAGAGATTCTAGGCCGACTCATAGTGGTGGTAGATGCAGAAAAGGTAAAATAGTTTTCCTACAATACTTTTTGTGATCCTGCATCATACTGCATATATTGGCAGAAAGTGTGAACTCCTTCCTGTTCAGGGTACTTTTTCTACTTTTCTCATTCTCATTTATTGTTATTGATGATCCTCTATGAAATTCTAACACTTTTGTCTGTTGCCAGTTTCGCCAATTTTCCTTTCAAAGGAGTGCCTCTTTTATTAATATGCTTTATTACACTAAACATAGCAATGGATGGTTCCATCATCCATGTGTTAGTCAAAAAGTAGGAAAGAGACTGAGTTCTATCTACTTACTCCGATGCAATTGTTTAAATTTGCTGGTGCATGACTTGAGGTTTATTGGTTCTGAGCTATTGGAATCTTATCATCATTGATTGTTTTTGTAGTTGATGCAAATGTATAATTGACCTCATTTTACTATCAATGAAGGTTCCATATGTTCCAGAAGGTCTTGAAGCCATCATTTTCACTGCTGATGGTGATATGAGGCAGGCATTGAACAACTTGCAGGCTACTTACAGTGGATTCAGTTTTGTGAACCAAGAAAATGTTTTCAAGGTTATAACTTAGAAAAGACTTCTAACATTTTGGTATGTTATACGACTTTGGGGATGCTATAGTATGTTGATTCCTTTTCAGGTTTGTGATCAGCCTCATCCATTGCATGTGAAGAACATGGTCCGTCATGTACTTGAAGGGAAATTTGATGATGCTTGTTTGGGTCTGAAGCAACTCTATGATTTGGGCTATTCTCCTACTGATATAATCACTACACTTTTCAGAATAATAAAAAATTATGATATGGCTGAGTACTTGAAACTGGAATTCATGAAGGTACATCTACTGGCTAGGCCCGTATTTATTTTGTCTTAGCACAAAATCTAGTCTCTGTCACAATACATCTTGTTTCTTCTGAGTTGCAGGAAACCGGGTTTGCACATATGAGAATCTGTGATGGAGTTGGTTCATATCTTCAGTTGTGTGGTCTTCTGGCTAAGTTTTCTTTAGTTCGTGAAACTGCTAAAGCAGCATAAGTTAGGTGGCTAGTAATATTAGAACCTGCTGCATCTGGCATCCTGATGGTGAGAACCTTTAATATAGAGTGACGTCGCTTTAACATTTAGATGTATTTGGTTTCATACATGGTACCTTGTGTTTCTGGGAGCTCTGAAATTTCGTTATATGGGAACTTGTTGCCCAATTCCTGAGCTTATAAACCATCTAATTTGATTTCCCTGTAATGTCTCCTGTATTTCAAGGCAGTGAATGAAGGTGGCAAATATTTACTTGTGTCACTGTAGATGCCATTTTCCTCCTACAGATTGTTCTTCGGAAATGATGGGACACTAATTCACGAGTTGCATACAAAATCAAGTTGCATTTTTAGCTTCAATTTTTAGTCTACCAAACCCGATCGTCGCTGTCGTTCATATCATTGCTTATCCATTGTCAAGCGTAAGCAAATAAACGAGGGAGCAGGGTGGTAAGGTTACAGCCGAAGCCCATTAAGTAGCTCAAGGATCTGATGATGGGCAAGTGGGTCGTAGCTTGCGAATTTTAGGGCTTTACAAATGGGTTTAAAGTAACAATTTCCGTTCCCAATTGTTCATTTTATGTGGTGGTATTTTTGAAGAAGCTACCTATCATTTTATTTATTTTTGGTGGATGAGAGCGACTAAAAAGAAATAAAAAAGAAATGGCAGATGGCAAAAGCAAAGAGAGTCGCTTCAAAGCAACCAATTCAGCCCACCAAGTCACCAATGACCAACCAATCCTGCCAAGTGCCAGCTCATGCCTCTCACTCTATCATGTTTATTTCGCATTCCCTTCTGCAGATTAACATTTCACACATTGACCACACACACGCACACCCCGCTTCATCTCAGCAAAATAAGAAAGTTGCTAATATAATATTTGATAATTAAATAATATTAATGTGATCAATCTCCACTGCAACATACTTGAGTTTAATAATTTTATAAGAGCAAGTGATTTTCTTACTTTGTTTAATTAGCTAGCTGGAATATGCTTAACGCTTTAAGAAAAGAAAATTTTTTTTCCATTGAGGGCAACGCGCTATGAGGAATGGGTGGCTTAGTTTGAACCCAAATTCTTGTCTTCCTTAAAGTGAAAGACAAACTACATTATTTGGTCAACTTACTGCTTTAACCATAGAAGGACAAACTACAACAAATGGGTAAGGTTTGAGAAGACAAACAATTGTCATCAACAAGTTGAACATATTATCCATATATGTTGCTTAAAAAAATGTTGAAGATGCAAGCTGTGATTTGTTAAACATTTCCATTTGGACAATTTGCCATATATATTGGTAAGTTAAGGAACTCATGAATGAGAAAAAGGTTGTGTTTCAGCTTATAACAACTACAACTACAACTCAAACCAACTCCTAAAACAAAAGAAACCAATTTGAAAATGACATAACAGAAAGTATTCAAGCTTGGTTGCTCTTCATTTTTGTTTATTACACTCCACACAACAATCTTCTAACACATTTAATTTGTTAATATATACATTTTAATCATTTCATTGAAAAGATTAAAAGGGAAGATATAGTTACAAAAAGCCAGATTCACATCCCATAACGTTCATTTTGTTTCACAAAAGGTTAAAAGAATGAAAAGTGCATCACTTTTTTTTATTTGAGTTCACTGAGGTTTGTCCAATTCTCCAGTTAAAAGGAACCCAAGTTTTTCACTGCTTTTTAAATCATCATTTTGTCTCATAATGTCTCGTCTCAGTCCTCTCAACCTCCTTTTACGAGTTATTGTAAGAATAATTAATCTTTTTCATTTTTTTCTAGTAATTATCTGTTCATTTTCCATAAAACATCAAGAATAACAATTAATACTTGATTTCCACTTCTTTTTCTTGTGAGATTTGATTTCCATAATTAAAACCGTGTGGACAAAGTTTTGCAATTCAATTTTATTCTATTCTATTGCATAAAACACAAGGTTACCCTACCAAACCCCGCTGTCTTCCTGACAAACCATCGAGAAGCAACCCACGGGAGAAAGAGGTAGACAGTTCCAATCCTAAATTATTACTACGTTTTAAACTTATAACTCGAACGGTTAAATCTGCAACCATAAGAGAAACAAAGCAAAACCCAACTTTCTTTCTCTATTTATTTCCCATTCCTAGTCTTGAATTTTTTCTTTCAAGCCACTCTTCTCGAATAGATATAAACTTCGATTCAATCCCAATTTCCTTTGAAAAAAAAAAAAAAACCCAGAAAGAAGATCACAAATTTACCCATTAAACAGTCAAAAGAGAGGATTTTTGTTTTGAAGGAGAATGGCAAGTGGGGATCTAGAAAGAGGAGGAAGTAATGGGAAGAACAGGGCAAGTAACTATTACCAATCATCTTCTACAGGTCCATACTATGTGGAAAGTACTGAAAAGCAATGGACTTCATGGCTTGTCCCGATGTTTGTGGTGGCTAATGTTGCTGTTTTTGTTGTGGTGATGTATATCAATAATTGTCCTAAGAACAATCTGGGATTTGAAGGAAGCTGTGTGGCTAAGTTTCTTGGCAGGCTTTCTTTTCAACCGTTGAAAGAAAATCCTCTCTTTGGTCCCTCTTCTAGGACGTAAGTCGCATCTATCCCATCTCTAAATTTGTTGTCTTTGTGTTTTTGCTATCTTTGGTTTGGTTTGTTTGCATGTTTCTGAAACTGTTTGGTCAATATCTTTTAGAAGTTGTTTATGTAGGAAGTTTTCCTTTTATGATTCAACTTCAGGGCGGTTGATCCTCTTATACGAACATCATCGGATCATGGTAGAGAATTTATCAATCTGTGACTTATTTTGATTCTGACTATGAGATGATGGATCAATATACATACTGGAAACTGGAAATGTTGTATGATTTGGTTGGTGCCAGTTAAGCTTATAAGGTTTGTTATTGCTTGTTGACTTAGTAGCATTCACAATTCCCAATATGGGGATGTTAACAAAAGTTCGTTAGTTGGTTTGTGGAATATCATGGTTTGCTTTGTCTAGCTGAAGTGCAGTGGGGACAATTTTATGATTAGGAACCTCTTCTCGCTTATAGCATGTAAGCATGGATGGTTTTTCTGCTGATACCTTAGGGCTTCTGGATTTTGGTTTAACCTCTTGCTCTTTTGTCAACTAGTGGAAATCCCCTTGCTGATTGCCTTAGTCTTAGTAAATGAACAGAAGGGCATTGAGGTAGCATATTATTTTAGAATCAAGGGGTTAATTCCCTATTTATCTTGTTATAATTTCTCAACTATCTAAACGGAATGTTCTTCTTTAGTAATGCAGTTAACTTGCTTGGTTCATTTAGGGATGCATGGTATTATTGGAGTTGAAGTAGGAAAAGACATGGTCTTAATATAGATAACAGAAAGGCTGCTTTACTTTTGTTTTTGAGTGATCTAATGCAAATCTAAATGTTTCTGATAGAAACTAACTAGAAATTGGTTTTAGGTTATTCCCATTCAATAAGTGTATGTACATAATTTTCAGTTTTCGCTGGATTGAGGGGAGTAATTGTAAACTTGAATGTGTTATATCTTCATGGTATTTTTCCTGTTCTCTTCGTTTTCTGTCTCTAGCAACCTTTTTCTATTATGCCATACCATTGGTGATATTTGTAACTCTTTTTTCTTTTCTAAAATTCCTTCTTCTTATTCTTATTCAGATTGGAAAAATTGGGAGCACTAGAGTGGAACAAGGTAGTGCATGGCAATCAAGGATGGAGGCTTATCACTTGCATCTGGCTGCATGCAGGTGTTATTCATCTGCTTGCAAACATGTTGAGCTTGGTCTTTATTGGAATACGCCTTGAACAGCAATTTGGATTTGGTAAGTTATCTGTCCTTTTCCTTTTAATGTTTGATTAATTATTCCGAATTTTCTCCTATGGAAATTTTGCATTATATAATATGTTTTGGAATCCATAGCATTTCAAAGTTTAAGTGTTGGGTTAGTCCTGATCAGTCAACAAAATGAAATATCATATAAATGTCTTATCAATGATCCATTGGTTGCATTACTTGGTGGATGAATTTGTTCATTCCAACAGAATTGTGATCAGCTGGATTTTGTAAATTTTTTTTTGGATTATTCTTTTGATATCTACCTAGAGATGATTTGGCCCATCATAGTGTTATAGCTGATATTGCTCTTTCCCATGGCAGTGCGAGTTGGGCTTATCTATCTATTGTCTGGTTTTGGTGGGAGCATACTATCTTCTCTTTTCATTCAGGGTAATAGTATTTCTGTTGGTGCCTCTGGTGCTTTATTTGGCCTTCTGGGAGCAATGTTATCAGAGCTTCTGACTAACTGGACTATCTATTCAAATAAGGTATGTTACTTGCCCTTGGTTTCTATCTAATTAGAAAGGGAAATGCTTATTTGCTATATACAATTACAAAATAGTAATTGCCTTGATGTTTGGAGCTTAAGATATTGGTACCCATGATCCGAAGATCATCAATGCTATTGTGGTATTGCTCTATATTGATGTTTGTACTACTTGTATCATTTAAGGATTTATTTTAGAGCTTTTTACTTTTGACTTGTATTAATTGATGACTTCCTTTTTTTTTTTTTTTTTATTTTAGGCTGCAGCTCTGATCACACTTGTGGTCATCATTGCCGTTAACTTAGCAGTAGGGATTCTTCCTCATGTTGACAACTTTGCACATATTGGAGGTTTCTTGACCGGCTTTCTCCTTGGGTTTGTTTTGCTGCTTCGTCCCCAATTTGGGTGGGTGCAACGCCACCAACTTCCTGCTGGTGCTCATGATAAATCTAAGCACAAGGCATACCAATATGTTTTCTGGGTGATTGCTGTGGTTTTACTCATTGTTGGGTAAGTTCTAAACCCCAAGTTTTAATTTAACTTTTGCCCGTCGTGTAGAAAACGAATATTCATTTGCTTGCCTTATTGAAACTAAATTTACCATAGATGGTTCTTCTAGAGTTCTAGTTACTTGTGTTTAACAGTTACCTAGGGTTTGTTTTGCACGTCAATGACTTTGTCCTAGTGAAAGAAAGATTAATTTCCTGTTTTCGTTTTGAATGATGCAGTTTCACAATGGGATTGGTAATGCTGTTTAGAGGAGAGAATGGAAACGACCATTGCAGCTGGTGCCATTACCTGAGCTGTGTGCCTACATCAAAATGGCACTGTGGAAACTAGTGAGCCACTACTGTTTTCTTCATCTCGCTTCCTGATTTCCTTATTTTATTCATTTGTTAATTTATGTACAAGCATGGTTTCCGACTTTTGAGGTTATCTTTGGATATCAGGAAATTCATTGTTATTATATAGTTGACATTTTATACATGATATATGGAGTAATATATTCTGATTGTATGCATTTTTTACATGACATTTTTGTCCCTACCGAGTTCAGATCCATAAAAGATGGTTGTTTTATGACAGAGATGTTAAGTTCCGAGTTTAATTCAGAAACCCTTTTCTTTCTCTGTATCGATGGAAAATCATAGAAAATCACAGAGGCATGACCAAAAATTGGTGCCTTTTGAGTAACCCAATGGACATGGCCATGTGGCACCTACACTGGAACTCAGTGATCCAAATCATCCATCAAGCTATCGGGCGCCTGCTCTGCTCCCGAATAGAGACATTTCAATGCAAGATGCCAAGATGTACTGTTCTTCTTTTGACTTCTGTTTACCATACCGTATATGTTTCCGTAACATGACTGGGATTTTGGGTCAGCTTTGCTCAGTACACCCACCGACATCACCATCTACGCAAAATCTTCCGCTGCATAAAATTTTCTGTCTATGGAATCTCGGTGGGGCATCCTGAAAACCGTGTCTGCTTCATAAATTCCATCGATTATTTGACAGCGTTAACCTTTTTCCTTTACCTACATGCCAAATATGTTATTGCAATTTGAAAAAGGCCAAAGCCAAAAGAAAAAGAAAAAAAAACCTTTACAACTAGAGTTCAGAGCACACTGCTTGTATCATTATGTTTATCATATTATCTTTTCATAAGTTAACTTCCTGCAAAGTACTGTTTGAGTACCAATTCTTAAGAAGTCATATGCACTAAAACATAAAGATGGCTACAGTAGACATAAAGCTAGGTCAGAGTCATCATAATTAAACCTAAGCATCTTGAATTAAACATTTCTAATGCATAAGGTAAAACAACTAGGTACATTAGTATCTATATCCAACGGGCATTCCTAGCCTGTCCAAGCGACCTGACCCTGGATAAGCTTTGCTTGCGAAGTTTGCATGCAAGGCAGACTTCTGTGAATTTGATTTCAGTTCACCGAAACCATGAATGGAATACCTCTTTGTTGAACTAGATCTCTCATACTGGATCCTTTGTTTTGGAGCACTGAGAGACCTCACCTTGGCCCTTGAAGATTCAGTGTAAGACATATAATTTGGGTGGTCTGAGTAACCGCTTAGATAGCTTCTGGAGCCATCACTCCTACCAGGAGTGAAGGGGCTTCTCATGGAACTAACCCCTTTTGATGACGCTGAATAGAATTGCGGACTATCATCAGCAGCGCAGAAAGGGCTTTCCTTGAACTCATGAGAGAACTTTAATGGACTTGAAGACTGAACTTCACCAGATGAAGGACTAGGAGCTGTTTGGTGTGAGTCTTTAGAATTTGTGAAACTACAACTATGTAGACCAGAATTCCAAGCAAGATGTGTGGAGTGAAATAGGTTTCTGCGTTTAGAGGTGAAATGGGGTTTCCCAGTATCGACCTCGAGAATTTTGTCATTCTTTTCATCATCCACAGGACCAATTCTGGTTGAATGCACTCGTTGGCCCCGTGATCGTTCATTAATTCGATGGTCTGACTGATCCCAACCTGGGTGCATTCTCTCATGATTATCAAGTGCCCTTCCACTCGACTTTGATCCATTTCTCTGAAATTGTTCAAGTTAGTTAATTAAGCATGTATATTCGATGTCAAATGGTACTAAAGAGTTGCTTTTCTGCAAAGTTCAGACAGATGCCAAGACCATACCTTCATCATTGATGATTGTTCATATTTTGTACTCTTAGATCGAATGACATGTTCAAACTTTTCAGGGGTTGGTGGACCCTGTATATAAAAGAGATTTCTATGTCACCGACAATTACAAATCAGACAAGTTGATATCAATCTAACATAAAGGAAAAAATATGACTATGTAATAAATCCAACCGACCCTTGTCAATTCAAGAAAAAATGAGTGGATTCTAAAAGATAATATGCTCACCAAATTGCCCTTCAGCAATAATTTCAAGATAATATGAATTTCTAACAAATTCATACATGCATTGTGAAGTTGTCTAGAGGTATAAAGGAAAGGAGCCCACAGTCCATGAAGCAAGTGTACTTGGCAAAAAATTCCAATGAGAAATTTCGGAAAATAAAAACAGGAGGGAAGAACAATTTTGACTTACCGGATGGTGGAAGTGAGAAGATTTGCTGCTTGATTGTGAAGACTCGGAAATTTGGGCCCGCCCGGCACGAGCACGTGCTTGTGCTCGCAATAATGCTTGCATCCTTCTTAGCCATTCTGCAGTTCTCTTCCTCTCTATATGACCTCTAACCAACGCCTGAAGCCTCACTAATCCTTTTAGTGCTCGCAACGCCCTTCTTGCCTTTAAAGGTACATGAAGAAAAAGTTATAATCAGGCAAGTACATAAGATTACAAGTCCATAAGCAATCAAGCTTGTTTGACAAAAACATTGCTAGGGTCATTACTCACTACTCGATACAATCACATTATTAGCATAACAAACTACTGGGTAAAATTCTATATTTTCTATCAAGCAAACAGCTTGATGTTAATGACTTTGGGCACAAGCAGCAGAAAAACTAAAAGAACGTGAAAAGGTAAGGAACCATCTGCTCAGGAATAAAAGGCAATTACAAAGACCTAACAACCAAGGTTCAAAAGACAAGGTAACAGGACCACATTGAATCATTTATTGAACTACTTTAATATGGAAGGAAATTTTTAAAATCTGGCGCCTAGGCAAATGCAGAAAACAAATATTGGTAGCATGAAAATTTAAAGTTAGCAGGCGCCAGGAAGATGATAGATAGTCATAGTAGAAGTGTAGGACATGTTTTTTTTCCAAAAAATTTAAAAATCTGACATAATATGAAAAGGGAAAAGGACTTCCCACGAGGCTCTGACCATAGGTAAAGGGTTTTATATTCCACATTCAATACCCAACTAACATTATGCTTTCATATCTCTCCAAAAGTCAAACAAAAGCACTAAGGAAACAATATTACTCACAACAAATTTTTTCCACTGGTTTGGACCCCACCCGATTCAGAAAACCCAAAATTTTCCATTACCCAGAAGATTTCAACCCAAGATATGCTTGGACCCAGGTCATACATTTCTCCGAAAAGTTCCCTTGCATTCAAAGTCTTCTGATCAGAAAATGCTGACACTGGGATTGATTCTTAATTTGGAAAGCTAAAAAATTATTGACCATGGCAAAAGAGTTGTTGGGCATCTTTTAAGCTTGCAATAATTGGACATCAATAAACCTAGAGCTTAACTCGATTTATGCATCCATTCTTTAAAGTTGATATCCAACAAGTTTAGAATTCAAATTCAACGTGGGTAATTTCTTATCTTACCTCAAGCTGTGATCTCTTTGTACCAAAAAAAAAAAAAAATAGACAGCACTAATTCACATACCTAAGCCAACTAAAAGAATTATCAATAAACTAAACTAATCCACATTGATTAACACCCAAAATTAGATGATCAATTAACTTACAATACAATGAAAGATTACCCAAATTACCCCAGAAATAAAATCAAGTTACTCAATCACCCACAACCTCAGAAACTAAATTCTGCCCCCATTAAATGTATGAAAACGCCATGACCAAAGAAATAGAAGGCGAAATTTCTAAAGTAAAAGTTTGCAGATGATTTTTGCAGAGATCCAGCAGGGCGTATTTTTTGGGGAGGGGTGCGCATTATGCAACCCGGTGCATGGTAACGACATGTCTGTTTTAAATAGTACTTTTAAAAATGGTTCGGTTTTTTGGGATGTAAGAGAAAACAACTCAGATACATGAAAATGGAAGCTTGGTCGGTAGGTTCTTTTACTTCCAATTGATGGGTGAGGAGGACGAACTAGAAAACGACATCGTTCTTGTCATAACGAGAATCTTTCAGAGAGCTAAATTCAGTAATGGGAACAAAACAGTTCTTAGCTTTGGTTCCTATACATTTTCGTGTTTTGTTCCTTTCAATTGCATTGAAAAAAAAAAAAAAGAAAACAAGATAAAGAAACATGGAAAACGTTTTTCTTTTACGAAGACAAATCAAGGTTCAAAGCCTCGGAATCGGAAGATTCCGGTGACTAAAACGAGTACGAAGGACACATTTCACCCATTCAACGAAACAAATTTGAAAAACTAACCAGATATCCACGAAATGCAGATTGTATCTTAACCGCAGCTAACTCCTCTTGTGCCCCGCAGCTGCTGGTAACTTGAGCCACCGTATCACGCGCGCACCTGCCACTGCTACTGGTGAGCCTAACCACGGCCGCTGCAGCTTGAGCAGCCGCAACGGCCGCTTCGGCAACCACGGCGGTAGCGGCAGCCACAGCGATGGCGTGCTTATTAGGATCCACTACTTCACGCTCGCCATTCCCATCAACAAGAGAAGCAGAGTCTTTCTGCTGCTGTTGACGACCGTACAGCGACGACGACTTCGCATTACTGTTACTATTGCTGTTCGTGGCGGCATGTTTGGTAGCGGGGGTGACGGAGGAGTCCTTTTCACGGTAGGATTTGACGAAACTCCAACGGCGTTTGGTAGACGAAGAAGGCTGGTGGTTGGAGTCGGTTTTTTTGAGGCCGAGGATACTGCGGAACCACTTCGAAGCTTTGCCCATTCCTGTTTCCTCGGTTCCTTGTAATGTTAAACTTGCTGGAGAATTAGATGAAAGAAGAAAAAAGAAACGGCTTTGGGACGACTCTTGGGATGCATTTGCGGAGACAAGTGGGGAAGAGGGGAAGTTTCATACGTTGTTGAGAGTCGTAGTGCGACGGAAAGCGAGTGAGGGAGAGAGAAAATGGTTTGTATATCGGTGCGGAAATTATACGGTAAGGCATATGTTTATTTTATTCCTCGTTACTATTAAAAAAAAAAAAAAAACACGTAACTTGAGTGGAAATGGTAAAATGTAAAACGTAACGGGTTGTCCCTAATGGTGCGCGTATTCACACACGCCATTACTGTTTTTTTTTTTTTCGATAACGTTGACAAGCAAATACTACTATTTTTTTTTTCTGAGAGTATATAATTTTTTTATTTTATGAAGTGTAATAACTATTTTATTTTTATATAAAAAATCAACATGCGAAAATAGAAAAAGAAATTAAATGTGTAAAAATTTGAGTTTTAAATTTATTAAATATTATTTAAAAATAATCACATCAATAAACTAAATTAAATCAAAATTTGTTTAAAAACTATTTTGAACGCACCGATTTGTGCAGCAGAAGATTTCTCATCGTACGATGCAAAATGGATCTTCGACTCATGTGGTGTTTGACATGGAATAATTATCTCCAACATCATAATAATTTAAACATGATGAACGGTGATTACATCGCCGCCGTGTTTACCTACTGGATAGGTGCCCCATCCTACTAAAGAGCAAAACAAACTAAATTTTAAACAAACAATTTGATATATCAAATCCCATGTGACCCGATGCTACTCATAGGTACTTATATATGAAATGTGTCTTTAAAAACGATCGAAAGATATTCTGACGGTCCTTTAATACAATAAGGCCAGTGGCAAATCAGCCCAACTAGACAGTTGGAGCCTGAATGGTCCGTGTAAGACGAAGAGACGAGGGATGTTTTTGGATTGGATGGAGATGAATTTTTTTTATTTGAATTTGATTTAATTTTATATATAATATTAAAATTTGATTTGATTTAATAATTTTTTTATTTTTTTATGTTAGAATCTGATTTTATTCAATAATATATAAAATTATATTTAATTCGATTAAATATGAAATTAATAAAATATTATTTTTTAATATAAATATAAAATTAAAAAATAATTTTATATGTCAAATTAAATCGAGATAAATTTATCTAAAATTTAATTTTAATTTAATTTTATTATAATTCGATTCAGAACTCAATTTAAAAGAAAAAAATCGAATAGGATCAATAGCGGCCGTGGGCTGCCATCCCTGTAAGGGACATAAGAGAGCTAAAAACGTTTTTCAACATTTCAGAACAGCATGCCTGCCTCAATTCTTTGAATTTACAATGTCACTCCTCAGCTGATCTTGACCACATCAATACGAATAGTAACAAGTGGGTCACCACATCTGATTGATTCTAATCACATGGTGGAAAAAAAATGAGAAGATGTTGGTAATTAGGATGGTTCGTGATCCCACCCGACGGGTCAATCAAGTGGATTCCATTAGATTTTGTGCAGTCATGTGCTTTTTTTACCAGGAGGTTAGATGTTTTTGTAGTGTAGCTTTGCTATCTTCGGGTGAGTTATCACATCAAAGCAGGGAACCCCTGGTCTTATATATGATGATTATAAAAAGAATACTAGTACTGCTACACTATGAACTGGCCCTCTACAATCCCATGTTTATTTACTAGTGCCTACTTTGACAGGCTGTTTGAAGTAATGGTTGATCCTAATTGGCTGCCTTTGAAGTAATGAAGCTAGACCCTTTCTTGTAGTTTCCAGGGTGAATGTTTTTCTGAAAGTTCACGGGCCAAATTTTCCCGGAAATATAATCTCACATAGTCTTTTTCTTACTAAGCACTGAAAGAAACAACAGCCCAAAACAGATTCTATGTCCTTGGCTCCTAGCATGGCATCTAATGGTTTGTAAACCCATTGGATTGGATTTGGAAACTGAAAGGAAGGGTTTGAAGAAGGTAGGGTTGGCGTTTTGGGGCCTAAAAATCGGATGGATGAGAAGAAACGACAAACGCAGACATCTTGGACTTTTCCTGTGATACAAACGAACAGAATCCAGAAGTAATATGTCGTGGCCTCTTGCCGACATCGACAAAACTTGTCTTCCAACTTTATTTTGCAATTTTCCTTCTAATGATACCGTACAAGAATATGATGTATCTGTATAATATTTGTGGCTGTTGTGGGAGGGTGAGCTTGGATGCTTTGTAGATGTTGGGCCATGGCAATTAGATTTATTGGAAACTTTTATCTGTGAACCTGAATTTTTTGACATCGGATATTGGATGGGATCTCTTGATCAACTGATCTGTTGATTTATACATAAATTATATATATTATCAATGAATTAAATAATAATATTTTATTAATAATTAAATATAAAATTTTAAAATAAATACATAAAATTTAATTTAAAAAATTATTAATGAAATGATATTATTTAATTTCATGAATCCTCGTAAACCAACAGTTTGGGGTATTAATTATTATGCCATTTACATTTTGTCAAGTTTATATTGTAGCATTAATAGACTTCTAAAAAAAACAAGTTTTTAATTATTGTAGCTTTGCTAAAAAATTGACTCCAAAATCTTACATTTCAACCCTTCTGGATCTTCTCCTTTATTTTTCTTTCAAAATGGGGGAGGACAAGCTATCAGCTAGGTTATTTTTACATTTGATTACTTCTATAGCCTAGCCTAAATATAATGACTATCAATAAGTGAGAGAGTAACATTGGTCCAAAGCCCCATTGCAGTTTCAAGACGCTGAGCTCCTTCGAGCCAATCCTGTGGAACATTTTGGGACGATGCCTGTCATTCTATTGATTATGTCTTCAAAAGATGGTCGATTTTCTGGATCACTGCTTGTTTGAGCACGACAAATGGTTAGTTTTATTTTTTATTGGCTTCTGAATTTCCATGTTTCGAAACTAAAAGGAAGTAGTGCAACAATACATGGACATACCTTCGCCAGCAGTCACGAATAATAGATGAGACCTGAGGATCAAGGCCTTCTGGTAGGTCTAATCGCCTATCCATGAAGCCGACAACTCCAACTACCTACATTGTGGTTTTAGTAGAGATGAGATTAAGATATCAAAGAGGTTTATGTAACAAAAAGAAGTTGTTGTGGTGTTAAGAGGAACACCTGTAAAGAGTTCAAATTGCTCCATGGAATGGAGACAGTCATTAGTTCCCATAAGATAACTCCAAAACTGAATACATCAGACCTGTTTAGATTGATGTCAATATTATGCGGTTATCCTTCTAGAATAAAACAAGGAACCAGGGTAACAGGAAAACCTAAAGCTCAGTTTCCAGAAATTACTTTTCATTTGAAGGTTCATTCCTAAGGACTTCTGGGGCCATCCATTGGGGCTGCAATAACAAAAAATGAGAAAGAACATAAGCAGCTTGTTGTATGACAAGTAGTTGTTTTATACAACATTGATGCAACAACTAGAAAACCTGAACTGTAGGATATTTGACTCGACATCATTGCTGCTATAAGATCTATAAAAGAAGAAACTGAAAAGAAGGGATCATTACGGTTCCTCTTCCAGACTTTGTGGTTAAGTAGGTTCCGTTTTTCCACCTTGACAGGCCAAAGTCTCCAACCTAAGGCATTAATGAACTGTAAGCAATCTCCAAATGCTTAAACGTAATCGAACTATTTGAAGGTATTAGCCATTTTATGTTACCTTGACATTCCAATTTCTATCAACAAGGAGGTTGGAAGACTTCAGGTCCCTATGCACTATTGGCGGATTCCTATGATGCAAATAATTCATGCCTCTAGCCTGCAGGAAAAAGGAAAGTGTGAGGTTTTATTTGACAGCTAACAAGCAGAAAACATGGAATGAAGGGAAAGACAGAGGGATAGAAAACGCACAACATCAAGGGCCATCCTCATACGCCTTCTAACATCCAATGTCTGATTATTTTTGTGAAGTGCTTTGAAAAGGCTCCCCCTGATTATGGAACAAAATAAATATTAGTGGTACATATCTCATGATCATGAAAGAAGCAGTATGCATAGGACTTTTCTAGTAGCTGATCCCTGAGATATACAGCATTTCTTGCATAAGCAATGGTGGGAAAACAATAAAATAGGATGTTGAAATACCATCTGTAGATACATCATTAGTTGAGTGCACCTAAGACAAAATAACACCTTCATTACCTAGGCAAGAACTCTGTGACAATTGCAAGTCGTTCTTGTGAGTACACTGCTCCCATGAACAGCAGCACATTTGGATGTCTCAGTTTTCTCATGATATCAATCTGGAGCATTAGAAAAAGAACTCTAAGGATCGAAGCTATATTTCCTACATAATGTTGATTCATTGGAAACTTGAAGAGAATTCAGAGTACCTCTTTTTTGTAGTCTAGTAATGTTGACTCTTTGTATTCACCTGAAAAATAGACCTTCACGGCAACATCCTTCAGGAAGCAAACAATTTTTTGTCCAGGTTAGTAAATATTTTTACATGCTTATTTGGAACAAGAAATTGAAAAACTAGGGAATAAAAGAACTTACGGATCCATTCCAAATTCCATGATAAACAACTGCATATGAGCCTGAAGACAAAAGCAAACAAGTTGATTTGGTATTCTAGAAAATGTGTAACATGTATGCCATCATTCCTCTTATATGAAAGAAGGTTAACAATAGTGTGTGCAACCAATAAACAATAACAGAATTTATTTAATGATCAACCTACTTATTGGAAAAAAAAAAAAACTTCAAACATGGAGCTGTAACAAAAATAAGATTGAATCACAATTAAAAATGTTAGGTTTCATGTAATTGTTACTGAGACATGTATCTCAAAATTTGTTTAAATCATGAACCAGAGGCAGGTCGCTTAAACCATGCAAGAATCTACTTCTCTACTGATCAAACTCTTTTTTCCACTGAAGTGCACCAGCATGCGGATATTTTATGCATGTTACAGCAAAGAATTTTACCTTGTCCAACCTCCTCCGCTAAATGTAGGTCTTCCCAGCGAATCTCACAATCAACCATAGTGTTTGACTCATTATCCCGTTTGCTTGATGAACTTCCTTGGCTGTCTACGCTCTCCACTAAACTTGAGACGTTTTTACTGTCTGTATGCTTCTGTAATTCATCTTCCATCTCGGAATTATCCATATTTGGAAACTCCAGCTCCAATTCATTTTCATTTACTTGGCACTCTAATTGTGCAGTAGGATCTCCTATTCTGGTTAACCCAAAATGTCCATTCCACTCTCTTGAAGAGGCTACAGCAGATTTCTCTTCAACAGATGCTGGACTTGTGTGCTTATGTTCACTTGAAATTGCATCTTCAGCTGCAGAGAAAGAATTGATGTGGTTTGAAGTTGATGCCTTTGAACCTCTATAAGCATTAGGTTCAACAGTCACATCATTCCTTGCCAATCTACTAGTTGCACCTTTTTGCTGAAGACTTTCATCATCTTCGTTGCTGTGGTTGCTAGCTCCCCGGATGTGCAGTTTTTCCAAGACCTTAGCTGCCTACAAGCATCCCCACCACATAATTTGGCAAAAATGTCAACAAGAGGCAGAAGATATAGACAATGTCTACTCTACCGTTTTTTAATGAGTTCAGAAACAATTCAAACTAGGATGAAACAATTGGAAACAGAGTAAATTCCCAAAATAATTATGAGTTCTGAACTTCTGATTAATTGCCTAGATGAACTGACATCAATTAGATATATGCAAGGCAATGGCAAAAGAACTATGACATCCCAAAATTTTCATTCAAACACTTGGTTCACATAGCTTATAACAAACTAGGTGAAAGAATGTCAATACAATTTTTGAAGGTTGAGCAAAATCGAATGCATTTTCATCCTTTTGAGAGCTTATTCCTTCAACTGTGTTCCTCAGTTCGTTGAAATTCGAGTTAAGTTTACCTTCCTTGAATAACACAAAAGAGAAAGGCAGAAAGAATAAGTTAGATATCTGATTTACAGATATACAGAACCAGCTGAGATGCAGTCTGCTAGAACAAATCCTTACTGCTGTATTAGGTGTCTCTAACTTGTCTTCAGTACTTATTGCAGCATCCTCTTTTTCCCTTGAATTGGTACAGGCATTGCTCATACCATCCTGTTTCTTGAGTAGAAACCTTGATGCCTGGGGGTTTTAACAGCGCAGAATGTCAAGCTTTTCAGAAATGAATATAAAACCAGAAAAGAACAAAAAGAAAGAAAGAAAGAAAAATGGGACAAAGCTGTAGTAATTCTATACATAAGCACCAGTTTTGAAACAGATGATACAATCTGTGGCCGTGGTGGATGCCACTGGATCCTTTTCATCTTTAACCTCCTTAGTCTACTATGATCCTGATATGATCCCAGATTCTCTGAATTTATACCATTAAAAATGGCGGCATCACTTGAAACTGTGATAACACCAGTGAGCTGACCATCCTCGTATAATGGGCTTTTGCTCACCAACGCCATAAACATTTCACCTGACCTCCTCTTGAAAGGGAACTGACCCGACCATGATTGCCCAGAGCTCAATTTTTCCATAATTTTCTTTAGGGGCGCATGGTATTCTTCAGCTATAAGAAGCTCTGTATCTCTTTGTCCAAAGACTTCATTGGACATCCATCCGAAAAGATTTTCAGCTGAGCGATTCCTGTGGTAAGATAACTCTTTTTTTATCATGAATCAAAGTATCTATATAGCAAAGTCTGAGGTGAAATAATTTAAACTGTCCTCATAACATCTTATATAAATTGAAGATTTTCAACATTCGTCAGGAATCAAAACTATCTAATGAGTTTTAATTTGAATATACATATTTATCAAAAGATGAAAATAAATGAATTGCATTAAAACACATCTTAGAAAAAAATTTATCATCACCATTTCACAAAATCAACCTTGGAAAGATTCATCTAGGAGGGATTGCACCTTCAAATGTTGTGCAAATCAACATCATTTTATTCTTTGCAGGTATCTAACTTTATAATTTTGCGAAATGCTACTGATTATAAGGTTTTTTTTTTTTGTTGGGGGATCTTCAATTTAGTTCTAAACTCTGTCTTTCCTACTTCTGGACTTATGTGGCCTATGGCAATCCCTACCACCATTATTAGCTTTCAACTTACTAGATATAGGTAGATGCATGTGCAAACACGAAATGCCGAAATGATTCTGCCTGCTTATTAAGGATCTAGGTGACAACATCCTATATATGAATCCTTCATACAAAACATGCACGTTTAGCCTTTTTCATTAACCAATCATTTAAAAATTTGGGATAATGCGGAAACATATGTAGTAAGATCATGTTTCTAGTTCAAAAGTGTGTTTATTACTAGTGTGGAATCTTTGGACTATCAATTATAGAAATTCTTAAAATACTTGATGACAAATTTGATATGCATGTGGTTCTGATGAATAATTTGGGAATCTTTTGACTAGCAGTTGTAGAAATTAATTCTTGAAAATAATTGATCCCAATTAATTTCCTCCACAAAGCAGAGCCATTCATTTCGAAGATGGACTAACTCTAACATGTGTACTTGAACTTCCTCCAGGAGATCAGAAGATAAAGATAGCAAGAAAACAAACAAAAAGAAAAGAAAAAAAAAAAACAGGATTTTGATGTGAACTTCTATCAAACATCTTAACAATACTTTAGACCTAAACCACTAAAACAAGTATACAAAAAAATCCAAATAGAACCCAAGCTAATGCTTCATTCTTCTTTACATGCACATTCTTATATATAGTATAAGCATCATTAAAAGGGAGTGCTTCCATGTCAAACATGATTTATTCTTTTACATGAAAGTTAGTACTTTGAAGTTCGAATTAGCTTCCAAATTTCAGCTTAAATATATTAACCTTTACTACTTTAAAACCAACACATTTTTACAACAAAAGAACCTTTGAACTATCATTTTTACAACAAAGGCTACCTACCATCATTGACCTTTGAACTTTCTGCATTTAAGCAACTGTTTCATCAATATAACAACAAAAGCACCCACAAACAAAACTCACTCTTTTTCCAAAACAACAGGGACATGCAACTACTCAAAAGAATTAATAGAAACATCGAAAATTAAAAAAGTAAAGAAAAAAAGATGTTTCTTTGCCATACCAATATGTAATCTTTCCTGAAGCAGCTGAGCAGACATGAACAGCATGTCCAATGGATTCCAATCCGTTCCTAAAAGGACTTCCCGTCGAGAAGTACCCCGGAAACGTTACAAAGCCCGAATATGACGTGGCATCGCCTGAATCTGACGCCCTCACCACCTCATCAGTTTTTCTTTTATCTTGCTGCACAAGCTCGTCAAACTCTTCCCTCAGCTTAGCATGACTCGCTTCCAAACTCAAGCATCGATCCACTAAGACTTTGTGGAGGCTCTCTAATGACTCGTCTCCCGCCATTGAATCACTCATCGGTGATTCGCCGGAGATGGATGCAAGTTTGCTGATGGGCTATGTTTAGCTTTTGATAATTATAATATAGTTTATTACCGAGGTGGTCGCTTATCGTAATTGTTTTTAGTAATAAAATATTAGTTTGATTAATATTTTTTTTGGTGTAGGAATTGTGGGGTCAAAGCGTACCCGCCACGTGTCTTGGCCGGCTAGGGGAAGCTATCAAGTGCGGACAGGTGTAAGGTTGGAGACCTCAAAGGCGAATGAGGAAAGGGATTTGATATTTTTAGAGAGCGAGTTTGCCATTTGTTAATGGAGCTGATAGCAATTTGTCTGTATTTTTGTGACGAAAATGCCTTGAATTTGAGTGATGAAATTACATGTCTTACCCCTGCCGTCATCGGTTTGAAACGAAGCAAGTGGGCGATGTTGGGGTTTGGTTGCTTCCACTCAAACCATTTTCCAATTCTTTAACAACTTGCTGACGTGGAATTGGTCAAATTGTGGAAAAACAATCACATACGGTCGACACTAATATCGATTCATGTTCTTTAATATCGAACCAATTACAAGCCATGATCAATCACGTGTGCGCCGTCGATGTTTGGAACGCGTTTGGGAACTGAAGTAAAATCCGATGGTCAGAATTACATGATGGCTTCGTTGAACTTTTGACGGTGTATCCCCAGGATTCAACGAGCGTGAAAGGTATTTTATGTTTCCATTTTATAAAGGTTTCATAATTATGCCAACTGTACTTGCACTATTTTTTTTTTTTCTGAAAAATAGTTTAGAGCTGGAAATTATTTCATCTTTATAAATCATCAATCATAATGCGATTATGAATTTTTTAAAACTTTTTCAGACTAACAAATTATCTACCATTAAAAAATTATAAAAATTCAAATCTAAGTATTTTGTATTTAAATTCAAAACTTTAATTATTTAAGTCAATTTTTATTAATTTTTTAATAATAATAATAATAATAATATAGTCCTGAAATTGTCCCTCAAGGCCTTAAAACTATTTGTGGCCCACATAAATTGGGTCAAACATAACGGTCAAAGAGGCCCACCAAAACATAATAAATCGAGCTGATTTGGGCCGACTGATTAAACTAATAACGGCGACGTTTGGACGCAACACTAAAGTCAGTTAGTGACGTAGTGGCAGTTTTAAAACTCCCTCTAAATCCCTACATAACCGCATTTACAGATTCTTGAAATCTCCAACGGTAAAATGGAAATCAGAGCGCTGAAAATGGGAAGATCGGCGCGGTTTCTCATCTACATTTTCAGTGTTCTCTTCTTCCAAAACGAGGTCTTTTCAGTCCAGATCCTCTCTAAATCGAGGCTCGAAAAGTGCGAGAAGAGTACGGACTCCAACGACAAACTGAATTGCACCACCAAGATCGTCATCAACATGGCCGTTCCCAGCGGTTCAGTAAGTGAACTTTTTATTGTGATTATTTAGTAGTTATTTCTTCTTAATCTGATGTTTAATCCTCTTTAGAGTGGCGGGGAGGCGTCGATCGTGGCGGAAATAGTGGAAGTGGAGGATAATTCGACGAATAAGATGCAGACATTACGGATTCCGCCGGTGATAACGGTCAACAAATCCGCTGCCTATGCTCTCTACGAATTAACATATATTCGAGTATGTTTTTTAATGCAAAAAAAAAATTTTGCACTTTTTAATTTTTTCAATTTTGAGGGAAATTGAAATGAAAAACAAAATGAAGAGATCGTAGAGAAAGAATCTCTCTTTTTCAAAATTATATTTTTTTTCAACGATTTATTTTTTCAGGATGTTTCTTTTAAACCTCAAGAGTTCTATGTTAAGACACGCAAATGTGAGCCAGATGCTGGTGCTAATGTTGTCAAGATGTGTGAGAGGCAAGTAATTATTTTCTTAATTTATATATGAACATAATAATAAAGAGATGGACTATTTTCTAGTATCTGTTTTGTAGGTTGCGCGATGAGGATGGTCACATCATTGAGCATACTCAGGTTGCAATTTCAACTTCTTATTATCATTTTGAATAGAATTTCGTATTATGTGAACTTAACTGTTGCTTAGTTGTTCATGTTGTGATTACAAACTGCCTAGTTAGTCTTTGTTTTTTGCCATTGTGGTTATAATAGATTTCTGTTGGTAGCTTTTGTCTCATATTTCTTTATATATAGTGGGAAATTTTACTTTGTGATTCCTCTTTGACTTTTTGTTTGAATTATTCTTTTAATGGACTTTAATCTTATGTCTTTTCGATCATCTGTCCTTCCTGTTTAGCCTATTTGCTGTCCTTGCGGGCCTCAAAGGCGGGTACCTTCATCTTGTGGAAATATCTGTAAGTGCTCTATGTGTTTTTCAGCATCGTCAAAGTTTTCTTTTGGATGCAGGGTTTTGTGGAATCTGATTATTCTCACCTTTATGTTTACATTTGGGTAGTTGACAAATTGATGAAAGGAAAGCCCAATACTGCACACTGTCTCCGATTTCCGGGTGATTGGTATGGCCTTTCACTTGCCTTCTTTTGGTTACTTTTATTGTTTTTTTTTTGTGTTGTTATTGTCTTGCTGGGCCAACCCTTTCCCGTTCAATGACAAAATCTTAGAAGATACACACTTTTAGGAGATTCGTGGGTTTAGAATTGTTTTATTGATGCTGTGTTTATATAGATGTATGTTTGAAAATGTGTGGTTGATAGTTCAAAGTTTTAAAAAAAAATTCAAACTTGGTTTATTTTTTTCTATGATTGCCTTACAGTAAATTTTTCATAAAAGAAATTCCAGATATAAAGAAATTAGAGAAAGATAATTGAAAAAGATTTCTATTTAGTTAGGTGAGAACATGGGAATATGGGATAATTAGGTCCATGATTGATGATGGCATTGGTACTACTCTTTTTGCTACATTGTCTCAAAGGTTAAATAATTGAGTAACTGCTGACTCTCTATTTTTTACAGCTTAACTTTTATATGTCTTGAAGCATATGTTATGACTGGTAATAGTTGTTTATCCACTTAGGTTCCATGTTTTTGGTATTGGACAGCGGTCAATTGGATTCAACATTAGAACTGAGATGAAGACAGGAACTAAAGTTTCGGTATTGTTGTGCATCATATTTCTTTTCCTTATGGGACTTCTTTTTTATTACTATTATGCATATTTTATTGATCAGGTGTAAACGTATGACTAGGATAGTGATAAGTTCTGAGCAATGCATATTTTGGTTGGTTGTATATCCGTTGGTAGTTTCACATAATGCTGTTAGAATTTGATACCAGTGTGACACATCATTAGTTTGAATTATTTCTTGCTTCCATATCTTAGTTTAATTGAAAAGGGATGTGAAATTTTATTAATAAAAATTTACCTTTCAGATAAATTATTTATGTTTGCAGGAAGTTATTGTAGGTCCTGAAAACAGAACAGCAACATCCAATGACAAATTTCTAAGTGTTAACCTTATTGGAGATTTTGTTGGATATTCAAATATTCCTACATTTGAGGACTTCTACCTTGTCATTCCAAGGCAGGTAAGCTGCTTCGAAGATATTGTTAGGACTGTTGTACAGGAGAAAGTTGTAATCCTGCTAATAGATCTATTTTAGTCATCTTTTCAATTACTCTGAGATGGCTTTTCCCTTGGCATTTAGCACAAAGTCGCTGAATTCATATTATCAGGTCGTTTAGTTTATTTTTTTATTTGCTCTTACTACATAGGGGTCATATTTATTTACAGCTTAATTTACGGCCCTGATAGTGATCGGCTTTGAAGATTTTACAAATATATGAACATTGAACAATATATTATGATTTACAAATTTTACAAAGCCAAATCGTGATTGGCTTTGAAAATTTTACAAATGTATAAACATTGAACAATATATTATGATTTAAAATATACAAAATTCCAACAATTCTCACAATTGATGATGGAGCTTGATTTGAAATTCAGAACCTTGTGTAGGCTTTACTTGGTTTTCCAGTTTTATTTTCTCACTTTTATGCTTTTTTTAAGTAGAAGGTACAAGATTTTATTTCAACTGCTAATATTCATCAGTTTAAAACACCTGCTAGTAACAACTGTTACTGTATTTTGTAATGAGTTCCTGTTGAACATGAGAACTACTCCAATTAGCAGTCAGTGGTGTTCTGTTGTGTCTTATTTTTAAGGACGGAAGATTGGCTACAATATGCATGGCAATGTCATTTTGGATATGTTCTTTCAGAATATTTTAGCTAATTACTTACAGAGGCAACTCACCTTCATTTGTTTATTTCTATTTTGGTGCAAATTCAGTAATTTTGAATTGCCGAAACTTTTTTTCTTCCTTCAATGACAGGGTGCTCCAGGTCAACCGAATGATTTGGGAAGGAATCTTTCTATGTGGATGCTGCTTGAGAGAGTGAGATTTACCTTAGATGGTGTGGAATGCAACAAAATTGGTGTCGATTATGAGGCTTTCAATGGTCAGCCAAACTTCTGTTCATCACCATTTTGGAGTTGCTTGCATAATCAGTTGTGGAATTTCTGGGAAGTTAGTACATAAAACTAAACAGTAATTCTTCTAATTTCTCTACCTAGTTTGGTGCAAGGTTTTGTAATGTTAAAGTTATGATGTTCTGCTGTTTTGCAGTTTACTCCTATTCTCAATTGTAAATTTTGTTAGTTTTGCTATTGCAAAAGTTAGTGTCTTTCCCCCTGTTTTAGATAGACCATGGAAATATCTGGTAAT